GGGGGGCTCTCTCCCCCACAGACTTGACCTCTTTGGGAAGCCCCTTCTCTGGCACTGCGCAGTGTGGAAGGGTGATCTAGCTGTGGCCCCATCTCCTTCCCTGTCCTGGGGCCTCCCAGGCACTCAGGCTGCCTTATTGACTAATGGCTCCCCAGTGAACACTGGGTGACGCCCCTGCCAAAGCCCACTTTCATCTCCAGTGACTCAAGCCTGGAGGTTGCAGGAGGTTGTAGCTGGTCTCCCTACCCCCAGTTCTTACCACCCCATCCAGCCTGGTCATGGCCATTAGGCGATCTGTCTAAATCACCTCTTGCAAGCACTTTCTTGCTCAAATATTTTCAGAATGAAATTCCAGTCCTTTTGGGTGACTTACAGCCTTCCAAAATCTGGCCTCAAGCCTACATTGCCTTTTACTTCAACCACTGTAGACTTTAACTCTGAGAAGTACTCGTTGAACGTTTGCCAAGTGAGTGAATGAATGAAGAACATATGAATAAGTACCTTGAGTATAGTGGTGATTTCTAGAAATGGAATCTATTGCCAGGAGACCCTGGGGCTGGGGTCCCATAGAAGTCTGTTAATGTGGGAGCAAGTGGTTTTGGCAGGTATCATCCTAAGTAGAAAACTAAGCTCAGTGAACTGGATCAGGGACAAAGCCTTGCCCAGGGGGAAAGATTTTAAGTACAAAATCAATGCTCTCAGTCTGCCTGATCTGGCCTTCAGGCACATATTTTTCATGGCTCCCAGGTGAGAGAGGGCTGTAAGTAGGTGCTGAAGAGCTGTTTCCCTACAAAGCTCTAAACTTTGGGCGCAGAAGCTAGTTTCTTGGGACCTCTGCATAGACTGGCTTAGGCTCGTCCAAGGCCCCTCGGCCAGTAGCTGGACCAGGTCAGATGAGGCAGTGACAGGCATACAGCACAGGAACGCATGTAAGACATTCACCAGTGGGGGGAGGGTACGAAGGAGCAATCTGATTTCTGACTGCCTCTTTCTGGCAGGAGAGGCCTGGGGAATCTTGGTGAAATAAATTTTAGGGTGCCAGTTAGAGGCTGAGCCTCCCAGCATCCTCAGACCCCACTATTCTCCTTCCCTTCTTCACAGGCTCATTGCTATGGCCCAGGTCAAAGGCTTCCTCCTTTGGGTGCTTTCCCTGAACTCCCTGGTGGGAAGTAGTCCCTTTCCTCTTCCTTGTAATTCTACACCTGCATCCTAGAGCAGTGGTAGGGGACTCAGGCCACATGGCCTTGTAGCTGGACGTTCAGTAGTTCATTTCCCTGCATGCCTGTAGGTGCAAGTCCTTCCTGTCCTCCTGAGCATGCAGTGCTCTGGGAAGAGCCAGGAGCCAGGAGCTTAAAGATCTTTCTTTCTTTCTTTCTTTCTTTCTTTCTTTCTTTCTTTCTTTCTTTCTTTCTTTCTTTCTTTCTTTCTTTCTTTCTTTCTTTCTTTCTTTCTTTCTTTCTTCCTTCCTTCCTTCCTTCCTTCCTTCCTTCCTTCCTTCCTTCCTTCCTTCTTTTTTTTCTTTCTTTCTTTCTTTCTTTCTTTCTTTCTTTCTTTCTTTCTTTCTTTCTTTCTTTCTTTCTTTTTTTGAGAGAGAGAGAGAGAGACAGAGAGAGCTTGAGCAGGGAAGGCAGAGAGAGAGGGAAAGAGAATCCCAAGCAGGCTCTACACTCAGCACAGAGCCCCACCCAGGGCTCAATCTCATGACCATGAGATCATGATCTGAGCTGAAATCGAGTCAGGCACTCAACCCCTTAAAGATATTACTTTACTGAATGGTAGTTCAGTGATTTTTGATGATCTTCAAGAGTTCTGCACTGTACATAAAAGGATACAATTAACAAAGTGAAAAGACCATCTACAGAATGGGAGAAAATATTGCAAATTATGTACTTGACAAGGGGTTAATATTCAGAAAATATAAAGAACTCCTACAACTTAGCAATTTTTAAAAAAGCTCAGTCGACAAAATGAGCAAAAGACTTGAATAAAGATTTCTCCAAAGAATACATAAAGTGGCCAAAATGCACAGGAAAAGATGTTCAACATCATTAATCGTTAGGGAAATGTACATTAAAACTGCAATGAGATGCTACCTGACACCCAGTAGAATGCCTACTATAACATCAACAACAGAAAACAAATGTTGGTGAGAATGAGGAGAAATGGGAATCCTCATGCACTGTAGAAATGTAAAATGGTGCAGCTGCTAATGGAAAACTATATTTTCCTTGAAAATTAAAAATCGAGTGACACATTATCCAGCAATTCTACTTCTGGTTAGATATCCAAAAGAACTGAAAGTAGAGTTTCAAAAGAAGTATTTGTATATCCATGTTAATAGCAACATTATTCACAATAGCCAAGAAGTGGAAGTGATCCAAGTGTCCATCAATGGATGCATGGATAAACAAAATGTAATCTATATACACAGTGGCATATTCTTCCGTCTTAGAAAGGAAATTCTGAAACACGCTACAACATGGATGAATCTTAAGGACATTATGCTAATTGAAATAATCCCGTCACAAAAAGACAGATACTGTATGATCCCACTAATGTGATGTACTTAGAATAGCCAAATTCAGAGAGACAGAAGATAATGGTGATTGCCAGGAGCTGGGGAAGGGGGAAATGGGGAGTTGTTTAATGGATACAGACTTTCAGTTTTTGCAAGATGGAAAAAGGTCTGGAGATTGCACACAATGTGAATGCACTTAACACTACTGAACAGTACACTTAAAATGGCAAGGTCTGTAAATTTTGGTTATGTATATTTTACTACAATTAAAAATTAAAAAAAAAAAAAAGTTCTGCATTGAGTTGGCCCATTCAGATTATTCACTAGGCAAGTTTGCCCGTAAGCAGCATGCTGGTGGATTTGCGACTTGCCCACAGAACACCTTGAGGAGAGGTAGATACTCTTTACATTCCCGGGGGAAATAAGGAAGTCACTCACTCCTCAGAGTGCAGTTCATGGACCCAACGAACATCACCCCAATTAAAACTTAAAGAATCGGAATTTGCATTTTAATAGGCTTCCAGGCCATTTGTGTAAGTCAATGCCTGAAAAGCCTGGCCTAGGGGTGATCCTCACTGGGAAGTAGGGCATTAAAGGAGGGGTGAGTGGCACACACAGCATCCAGCGTCTGGGACCACCAACTCCCATCACTCTCCCGACTTAGACATGGGGAGACTGAGGCCTTGAGGACCACAGAGGCTTGCACCAGAGAGGCTGCTGAACACATTTACCTGGTTGGGCTCTGGAGACTTACTTCGCAGGTGCTGGCTTGTCCGTCTTCCTCTAGCTGTGTGCTCTTATGCAAGTTACTCTATGTCTCTGTGATTTAGCTTCTCCACCGGTTAAAAGTCACCTCATTAATTGTGGACTAATTAGTACAGGTCAAAGTGTACAGGTGCCCAGTGCAGTACCTGCTCTTGTCATTGTTCCCAGAAGTCACACTGCAAAAGGGGGTGCTGTGGAGAGGGCTCAAGATGGCACCAGAGCCCAAAGTTCCAGCTCCCAGTGTGGTCAGAAGGTATGCAGAAGAGGATGGGGGGAGGGGTCAGTGATGCCAATGAGCAAATTCCTGTATTGTTCATGAATATGTTCAGTATTCAGAAGTATGAATGCTTCTCCAGTAAGGACCTGGGGATCTGGCAGTGAGGAGGATGAGCAGTGGCTGTGTGGGGGCAGAGGCTACCTAAGTAGGGGTAACCCGTGGACTGGCTCTTATGGATCCAGCCCCAGGACCGGGCCATACAGAACCTCCATCCACCCAGTGCCACCTGGCATTCTGGGGGTGGGCCAGGAGGGGCAGTACGGTGCACGGCCCTCAGGCGGCTCTCTCAAGCTGGGCCAACCCACAGCCCTCGGATGTTTTTTATACAGGCAGAGGCTGGGCCTGGAGTCGGCAGCGCGCATCATCAGGAGTCCCAAGGCTCCGGAGACGCACGCACTGGGCGACAGTGGGCCTGGCTCTGCGGCACAGGCGGTGAACTTGTGGAATGGACGCCCTTTCCACCTCCTCCCACCATGGTATGCTTGGAAAGCCAGTGGTCCACATCACCTTGGGTCGGTGGCCCCACTGGGCCCGCACCTGCTTTCCTCCACCTGGGCTCCCAGCACGGTGTCCGCCCCCCTCCGCAGAAGGTCCTGCACTAAGCCCAACTCGGTTCCACACCAAGCACCTCGCCTTTCATTCACTCCATCCTCCGAAGCGGGCCCCGACCCTGGCTGGGATCGCACTTGAGCTCTCCCTGCCACGCACCTGGGTCCCATGTTGTGCACCCGTCCACTCGCCCCTGCACCGGCTCTGCACTTCCTTCCGACGCCTGGGTTTGGCAGCCGCTCAGTACAGAGGCACTGGAGCCCCGAGACAGAGCCGCTCTGACGCCGGCACCCCGGGTGCAGGCCCAAGGGCGGAGCGCCTCCTGCGCTCAGGGCGCAGTCGTCGCAGCCGAGTTATGTTTTCGACCGCGCGCAGCCACCGAGACCGTATTAGCCAACCAACTTCCTGGATCCCCAATCGTTTTCCTCTTCCACCCTTCGCTCAGCCGCAATCTTAGACACGCAGAGCACACACACCCCTGGGGGCAGCAAGGAGAAGTCTCCTTGCAAACACAGGACAGTGAGGGTCCCGGGTAGTGTGAAGGGCTCGAGATCGGGGGAGTCGGGGGCTCCCCAGGTGTCAGGGTGCCGAGCAGGAAAGAGCAATGCGTTCCTTCTGCCACGAGCCTTTTCGTGGGACCGTAAACGAGAGCTTCGAGTTTCCAGGGTCTTTGGGGGTATCTCTGTGGGCTCCACTGGGAAGCTGTTTAGAGAGACGACGAAAGCGGACACTTCCTCGCCCCGCCCCCAGATGGGAAAAGGGCAGGAAAGAACTGGAACGCTGTGAGTCAGCTCCCCTGGGAAGCCGGACCGCCCGGAGAGGCGTCACCCTCGGCAGCGGACCCGGTGCCGCCGGCTGGCTGGGAGGCGCGGCCCGGGCGCGGCGGGGGCGGAGTCGGGCGCGCCGGCCTCGGCGTTTCCCGGGCCCCGCGGCCGCGACCGAGCGGCTGGCGGGCCTGGGTCATGGCCGGCGGGGCGGCGCCGCGGGGGGCCGAGCTGCTGGCCTTCACGGGGTTCCGGGACTCGAGCACTCAGCTGCTAGCCTACGGCTACGGCCCGCGCAGCCTGCGGGATATGCGCGAGCGCGAATTCGGCCGCCTGGCAGGTGAGGCCAGCCCGGGCACCTGCGCGGGGCGGGCAGGGAGGAGCTGGCGCGCACGAGTTTTCTGGAACTGACGTGGAAGGGGCTTTTGCTTTAGGTGGGAGCAGCGTCACCTCATTTGGGATACATTTTGGATCGAAAGACCGGGAGGGACCTGTCCGCGCGTCCCTGAGGTCCCACCTGGAGCCCAAAACTTCTGCTACCCTAGCTCCTTAGCCTCTCCCGTGGTGTAGGACTAGCCTACTTCTTTCTCGCCTGTGCTCGCTCTTGGCGGATCACGCTTAGGAGTTCTTTTGCCCTTGCCCGCCGCGAGACTCCCGCCTCTAAAGAGCCAACGGGAGCCAGGGTCGCAGAACGCAGGCGTGAGCAGCGGCCCTGGCGTTCAGGTGCGGACAGGTGCAGTGCGTGGGCGGCCAGGGCGCCAGGTCGGGACCCCGCGCCTGGGGGCGTGTGCAGTTGGGACCCGGAGGCCTCTGGACACGAAGCTCATAAGCAGCTTTATGTTCGAGGCTCCTTTTTCTCATTCGTGCCATCTGAATAATGCCTTCGAATTCTTGCTCGCTGGGGGACTTGAATTAGCAAACCGTGCAGTTGGAGCTTTAAGTACAGGGCGAGCCTGTAAATTGGACACGAGTATCAGGATCATATAGTCCTTTTGATATGCGCAAGGCGGAACGGGCCGGTTAAATTTTAAATCGAGCTCGATCGGGCCCTGTGGCCTTGCCCAGACGTTGCAGCAGGGCGGGAGGGCTCCCGCACCCGGGCGGGACTTTCCCTCCTGCCAGGAACCGTGTGCGAGGTCTTCCTGGCCTGAGAACCGCGTGCCGGTTGAGCAGGGAGGGGCCGCAGGTTAAGTGGGCATGGCATGGTCGCGGTGCCAGGCCCCGGGATTTGAGGTGTGTTTATTCTGTCGCGATGAGCAACTGGTGACTGCTCCCTTGCTCATGGCAAAACAGCGGCCTCTGTGACTTAACGTTTCAGTAATCAGGTGGTTGATTTCAGCTCTTTTGAGTCACTTGCTCATGTTTGGGTTGGTTACAATTTTTTTTTTCCTTTTGGGAGCTTTGAGGGCTGTGGCCTTCTCCTAATGTGTCCCCTCTGTAGTTCAGTAGGGAAGCTCAAGAGGGAAATGGGGGAGGGAGCTTCTGGTGGCCTCTCTTCTACCTCTCCATTCTTCTCAGCAACACATTCACCTGGAGGAGACAGTACCTCACCCCTCTGCTTCCACATGCTGTCTCTGAAATTTTTTACTGTGGAAATTTCTACCCAGAGAAATAGATTGATACAGTGAACACCAACAGGTGTGGAGGGAGGGAAGGAGGCTCCCCATTCTTTTGAAGCAAATCTCAGAGGCTGTCTTCATGCAGTCTGTAATTATTTCAGCCCACACCTGCTTAATCCCCTAATCCTTCCATCTCTGATCCCTCACACCCATCACTGACTAACCTTTCCTCTCAATGCTACCCTGGGAAAGCAGAGGTATGTTCTGGGCCCCTACTTGTTTTACTTGTGTCCTTCAGAGAACATTTATTTAAGTGTAAAATTTAAATATAAAATTTAAATGTTCTAGCCAGATCCCAGCATGACCCTCAGAGCCCCTTTAACATCTATTGTATCATATTCTTTCTTTCGCTATCATCTATAAGTTCCTAGCATTTCCTCTACACTATACAGTTGAAGTAGACTTTTGTGGATTAAACCCATCCTTCCCATGGTTGGAAGTCTTAGAACATACCCACTTTTTCCCTCTCATAGTGCAGGGAAAACAAAACAAAACAATGTAACCGTCACCTCTTCTTTCTTTCCCCCTCCTCCTTCCCCTCAGAGATTTTGTGCAGGTTTGAGAGTTTATCTGGTTAAGTGGTAGCTCTAGATAATTACATGCTTAATCTTTAAGTGCTGAAATACTTTGCCTAACCAATTGGATGGGGATTCCCTTGTCTTGGTGAAGGGGGAGTGTTGGATTTTCAGATGTGATTCAAGTGGTTCTTGAAGCCTCAGGGTGCTGATGCATGGCCACTTACCCTATACAGAACTTAAAGAGCATGATCTAGAAGAGACCCTGGAATTTCCTTTCTTGAAGACCCAATACCAATGGGTTTTGGGGTCATTTGCCTCCTGCTTCTACTAACTGCTAAATCTTGGAGTGTTACTGTGTACCAAGCACTAAACTGGGCTCTGTTATAACAGCTCATTTAACCCTCATCCCATTTGCAAATGAAGGGACAGGGATCCAGAATGGCGAGTGGTGGAGCAGGATTCAATCAGGTTGGTTGACTTGGATTCTGCACTGCTCTCCACCATGCTGGCTGACTTCATCTAAAATCAGATCTCTAGATCATCTCACATGGCTGCCTTGTTTTGCAAAATTAACTACTGGACCAAAGGCCAAAGCAGCCTTCCCCCAGACGGCTTCGTGGCCCTGCAGAAGGTTGTGGGCAAAGCATGTGGTGTCCCTGGGAGCCCCTCAGGTTTCACAAGTGCACCGTGGCTTCACATGAGCATCTCCCTGATGGCTGGGTGGACAGAGGCCTTTCTTTTGGTGTGGTGCATTTGTATGTCTCAATTTTCAGTTAAAGAGAACATTATTCTAAAACCAATTTTTTGGACTAGGTAGTACATTTACATAGCACTCAGAAGGTGCCACAGGAGGGTAAAGAATGGCCAGGGAGCCCCTCTCACTCCAGGCCACAGCCATGGTGGCTGCCTCAGGCTCAGTTCCTGACACTTGTGTCTGGTGTGCCTTTTGATTTGTTGTCTTTATTTATATAAGTCTGTACAGTGTTTTTTTTACTATACAACTGAGACATAACATTCATTGTCTGACATAGTTTACATTTATTTGTCTTGCTCTGTCACTGTAATACCAGCTTCTCTCTTTTGTCTATTGTTGTGTCTCTGCCACTTAGAACAGCGCCTGACCCATAGTAAGTACTCAATAAAGATTTATTGAATCTAAAAATACAATAAACCAGGAAATAAAATGACTTCATAAAGGCTGTCTACAGAAAACCCACAGCTAATGTCATACTTAATAGTAAAACAATGACAGCGAGAATAAGACAAGGATGTCTGGACTCACCACTTCTACTCAACATTGTCATAGAGGTTCTAACCAGGACAGTTAGGCAAGAAAATGAAATGAAAGGCATCCGGATTGGAAAGGAAGAAGTGAAACATCTCTATTGGCTGGTAACACAATCTTGTATATAGAAAACCCTAAAGAATCCATGTATAAAACTGTTAGAACTAAAAAACAAGTTCAGAAAGTTATATGATACAAGCTCAATACACAAACATCAACCTGATTTCTCTACACTAGCAAGAAAAGCTGTGAAAATGAAACAAAAAAGAAGTGGAAGATTTATAAACTGAAAACTATAAAATGTCATCAAAGGAAATGATAGAAGACCTAAATAAATGGAAAGACACCCTATATTCATGAATTTGAAGACTAAATATTGTTAAGATGACAGTACTCCCCAAACTGACCTATAGATTGATTGACAATCTGATCGAAGTCCTAGGTACCTTTTTGCAGCAATTGATAATTTTTTTAAAAGTTTTTAATGTTTTTATTTATTATTGAGAAACAGAGTGAGACAGAGTATGAGCATGGGAGGGACAGAGGGGCAGAGAGAGTGGGAGACACAGAACCTGAAGGAGGCTCCAGGCTCTGAGCTATCAGTACAGAGCTGGATGCGGGGCTCAAACTCACAAACCAAGAGATCATGACCTGAGCCGAAGTCAGACACTTAACCGACTGAGCCACCCAGGCACCCCAGCAAATGATAAATTGATTCTAAAATTCATACAGAAATGCAAGGGACCGAGAATAGCCAAACCAACCTTGAAAGAGAACAAAGTTGAAAGACTCATACTTCCCATAAAATTAAAATAAGTAAAATGTAAATAAAGTTACAGTTATCAAGACCATGTGGTACTGGTACAAGGAAAGATGCTTGGACTGATGAAGTAGAATTGTAAGTCCAGAAATAAACCCGCATGTCTATGGTCAGTTGCTTTTTAACAGAAGGCCAGGACTATTCAATAGAGGAAAGAGTAGTCTCTTTAACAAATAGTGTTGGGGTAGCTGGCATGCAAAAGAATGAAGGTGGACCCCTACTTCATACTGTATTAAAAATGAACTAAAAATGGACAAAAGGCCTAAATATAAGAGCTAAAAATATAAAACTCTTAGAAGAAACCATAAGCAAAAATCATCAAGACCTTGGATTAGGCAATGGTTTCTTATGACACTCAAATTACAAACAACAATGGCAACAAAAATAGACAAATTGGACTTCATCAAATTTAAAAACTTTTATGCTTCTGTGAATACCACCAAGAAAGGATAACCCACTGAATGGGAGAAAACAGTGTCCCCACAAATCTTGCACATAGTCATGGTAGCATCGTTTATAATAGACAAAAAATGGAAGCAGCCCATATGTTTATCATTGGATGAGTGGATAAACAAATGTGGTACATCCATACAATGGACTACTATTCAGTCCTAAAAAAGGAATGAAACAAAAATATTGTGCACCTTGAAAATACAGATGCACCTTAAAAATATTAAATGAAAGAAGCCAGACACAAAAGGCCACATATTGCATGTTTTCATTTATATGAAATGCCCAGAATAGGCAAATCTGTAGAGACAGAAGGTAGATGAATGGTTCCCAGGGGCTAGGGCTGAATGGATTAGGGAGTGATTGGTAAGTGGTATGGACTCTCTTTTTGGGATGAATGAAAATGTTCTAAAATTAGATAGTGGTGATGGTTTATGAATCTGCTAAAGGTATCATTAAAAGGGTGAATTTTATGGTGTGGGAATTATATCTCAATAAAGATATTATAAAAGAAACCAAAGAGGGGCACCTGGGTGGGTTAGTCTGTTAAGTGTCTGACTTCAGCTCAGGTCATGATCTCATAGTTCATGAGTTGAGCCCCACTCTATGGGCTCTGTATTGACAGTATGGAGCTTTCTTCAGATCTTCTGTCTTCCTCTCTCTCTGCCTTTCCCCCTCACTCTCTTTCAAAAATAAACATTAAAAAGCAGAAGCCAAAAAAAATCTATTCTGCATAAAACAACAACAAAACCCACTTAAGGGAATGAAAGAAGGAATGAATCTATTCACGTTGTATATTCTTGACAAATGTATCTCAGAGTTTGCTCCATGTCCATACTTATAAAGTCCTAGGTGAAGGGACAAGAATTCTTTATTTTAAACACATGTCCATGGACATTTCAGTCATTTCCAATCTCCTGCTATTGTAGACAGTGCTGCACTAAATGTCCTTATGTGGAGGCCAGTTCACAAACCACAGATATTTAAAAATAACTTTCCTAGTAAAGGAGTTGCTAGGTCAAAGAGGGTTTGCAGTTTAAAGTGTGACAGATACTGCCAAATTGCCGTCCATAAAGAAGTTGTACCAATGGGGCCTCCTCTCCGCAGCCATGTACCAGTGGGCTCATGTTCCAGAACCCTTGCCCACACAGTGAGTTATCCAACCATCTGGTCTCCCCCATCTAATGGGAACATCTTCCTATCTCACTTTCCTCCAAATTTGCCTGTCTCTGTTTATGAGAGAAGGTAGAAAGCTCATTTGCATTCCTAGTATTCTCAAAGCTCTCCAAGCTGTGCTAGGGTGGAGGGCTATAGAATTCACTGTGGGAAAGCACAGTCAGGGCTCACCCACCAGGGAAAAGGCAAGGAAACCCCAGATAGGAAGTGAGTCATAATGTGAAATCGCTTTGTTGTCATTAATCACAGATGTCTGTTGGGCTCCTCCTCTGTGTGGGATGCTGTTCCAGGTTCATAAAAGAGCTGGTTAATCAGGAAGGCTTGCTCGGGGCTCTAAAGGTCATTCAATATTGAAAGCACAATCTTGCATTGCCCATGCCTTAGATTAAGAAGCTCATATCAAGAGGCTTGGAGAAATCAGTGCCCTGGTGGTGCCCACTGCTCACACTCACACAAATCAGATCTAAGCAAAATGAGTGGAATACCTCTGAAAAACAACTACAGCTTGATTCTGTGTTTTCTTTTAGGAACTGTCTACCTTGACCACGCAGGAGCCACAATGTTTCCCCAGAGTCAACTCACCAGCTTCACTAATGATCTCATGGAAAATGTTTATGGTAAAGAAAAACACACCAAAACTGTCTTTTGCATGAATATTAGCCAACTACATTTAGCTGATCTATCTCTGCTTAAAAAATATCAGATTAATAGACTAGGACAGTGCTGAATAGACCCCATGGGAGACGGGTGTCAAGCAAGCACTCAGATCGGTCCCTATAATACGTGCACAGCCAGGATGGGAAGGATTGACTCACGGACACAAAGTTTACTGCCAGAAGAAGGGGTCAGTGTCAGAAGAGCAGAGAAATACAAAGCTACTGTGTTTGGTGGGATGATCCTGGGCAGAGGGTGGGGTGGTGAGAAGGACATTCATTTATTCCTTCACTCCATAAATGTGTGTTGAGCCACTCTGCTGTGGAGGGTGCGGTGCTATAATAAAACAGATAAAGCACAGGCTCTGCCTTCGTGGACTATGATCTAGTCAAAACAGGACCCTAATCAAGTGAGCTCCCAATAAATGGAAATTACTAACTCTCTGAAGGGCTATGAACAAAAGGTCCATGATACCATGGGGTCTGTGGCTGCAGAGTGATGGGGGTGGCAGTGTGATGGCGGAGAAAGCTGCCTTAGGAGTGAGGTGAATACTGGAGGGTGAGCAGGAATTCCCTTGGGAATGAGGAAAAGGGTATTCCAGGCAGAGGTGATAGCAGGAACCAAGACCCGTTAATGGTTTCAGGATTTAGCCCCGGAGGACAGAGGAGGGGAGAAGAGTGGAGGAGGTATGAATGGAGAGGTAGGTCGGGGCATTGTAGGTGCTCTACAGAGTTTGATGTTTATTCTAAATTTTTAAAATGTTTTTTTATTTATTTCTAGGAGAGAGAGAGAGAGAGAGACAACGTGAGCAGGGGAGGGTCAGAGAGAGAGGGAGTCACAGACTCTGAAACAGGCTCCAGGCTCTGAGCTGGCAGTCAGCACATAGCCCGATGTGGGGCTCGAACCCACGAACCGCGAGATCATGACCTAAGCAAAAGTCGGACACTTAACTGACTAAGCCATCCAGGCGCCCCTGATGTTTATTCTAGAAACAATGGGCAGTCACAGAGGACAGTGATCAGCAGCACAGTGTGATGAGGATAAAACATGGGCAGGGAGCTTGAACTAAAGGCAGCAGTAACAGCTGTAGCAGTGGTAATAGTACTAGCAGTGAATATCGTGTCCTGAACACTCACTATACACTTCAGGGACTGTTCCAAATGCTTCATCTCTTCTCTCTCCCTCCATTCTCCAGGCAAATGAGGGTACAGGTTCTTTTATCAAACAAGCTAAGGTACAGGTTCCATCATCACTGCTATTTTACAGGTGAGGAAAGTGAGCCCCAGGGAAGGTAGGTAGCTAACTCGAGGCCACACAGTCAGAAAGCGCTGAAGCTGGAGAGCAGGGTCTCCAGGCCATTGGGCTCCAGAGCACAAGCCCTCATCCCTCGGCCGACTCCCTCGGTTCATGACATCCTGTCATGCCACACTAACGTCCGGGGTAACCAGCAGATATTTAAACTATCTGGGGGGTAGTTTGCAGAGGAGATGTCAGTGAGGGACCTTATCTTAATTTTACTCCATGATTTGCAAAGAGATCTGCAAGTCTTCTTTAACTTTTGCAAGAGTCCTAACTGGGAAAGACGCCGAGAGGTGACACAATTTGTAGACTGTTGGTAGTGCTGATGGTGGCGAGCTAAAAACCAGGGTGGTGAGAGGCAGTGAGGGTCAGTACCAAACCCCCAGGTTACTAGTGCTTATGGAAAAGGAGTGTTGGTAGCTTCAATGGCCAGAAATCCAGTGTGACTAGGCAGTATGTAAGAGAAAACAAGCAAACAAATCCTAAAACAAAAAAGGTCAAGACTGCGTTAATGTGCACATGTGGTCCTGCTCCTAAGAAATGCTTGTGCCTCACCCCTGCATGTCTGGCCCCTTGAGAGGTCTGTGTCCTCACCTGGGGGCCACGTTTTGAGGGAGGTAATAATACTATGGGTCACACTCATGGGGGATCCAAGTAGGGGAGGAGAACTAGAAATTGACAAGTGAAATTAGGAGAGACAGGGGGCACCTGGAGGGCTCAGTTGTTTAAGCATCCAACTCTTGATTTCAGCTCAGGCCATGATCTCATGGTTCATGAGATCAAGTCCTGTGTGGGATTCTGCGCTGTTAGCGTGACACCTGCTTGGGATTCTCTCTCTCTCTCTCTCTCTCTCTCTCTCTCTTTCTGTCCCTTCCCTGCTCTCTCTCTCTCTCTCTCTCAAAATAAATAAACACTTAAACCAATCTTTAAAAAAGAGAAATTAGGAGAGGTTCTAGCCTTGAGAATTAGCTAAGGGGAGATGTGATGTGATGGTCCCCTTCACATATTTGGAGAAGACAGGTGTGTTTCTGCAGGGATGATGCCATTAGCACTGGTGTGAATGCAGGGCAATAGTTGGGGACTTAGATTAAGTGGCATTCATGGCTCTGCCTCATGGCTGGCGGGGGGGTGGGGAGAAGTACAGCCTCCTGAGGTTGTGTACTTGGTTCCCTGGGCTTAATTATGAGAACCATCTGTCAGGGGACTTGCAGAAACGATTCTTGCATTGTTCTGGCTGCCTAAGAGCTTACTCCCAGCTCCAGAATGTTCTTCCCTGATCCCATCTTGCTTTACTAGTTGGGGGCAGGGGGTGGTTGGTTCATTTTTAAAAATTGAATTATATTTTATGTATCATAAAATTCATCTATTTCAAATGTACAATTTATTGATTTTCAGTAACTTTACCAAGCGGTGCAACTATCATAAATCACCTACATTTTCATTTCCCCAATAAGATCTCTAATGTCCATTTATAGTTAATCCCTGTTGCCCTGTCAGTCCCAACAACCACTAACCCACCACTTTCTGAATCTCTCTATATAGTTACCTTTGCTGGACATTTCATATAATATGTGACTGCTTGTGTCTGGTATCTCTCAGTTAGCATGTTTTTGTGGTTCATTCATGACCTAGTCAGTGGGGTCCTTTTTATTGTGAATACTTCCCCATTGTGTGGATAGACCACATTATGTCTATCTGGTCATTAGTTGATGGACATTTATGGTGTTCCCAGGATGTGGCTTTGCCAACAAACCTGCCTGTGAACATTTCTGTGCGTGAATCTTTGAGTAGATGTATGTTTTCATTTCTCTTGAGTATATGGAGTGGCTTCACTGCATCATAAGTAGTCATATGCTTAACTTTTTGAGAAACCGAGGGAGAGGATTTTGGAGGAATACAAGAAGAGAAACCCAAGTAGTGACATGATGGCTTTGTCTCTGTGACCTGCCAGGTAATCCTCACAGCCAGAACATCAGCAGCAAGCTCACCCATGATACCGTGGAGCGCGTGCGCTACAGGTGAGTGTGCGCCGAGTGGGAGCCCCCAGGTGATGGACTTCTTTCCAACCACTTACCACATCCCACAGCGGTTCTGAGCTGGTTTTGGGAAGATCACATTCAGCTAAATGGTCACGTGCACAATGGTAAACATCGGGGGCAGAGGACTGGAAGGTGAGAATGAGGCTGACCTGAAGCATAGGTGGCTGGCCCTGAGGTGCCCGCGGCTGTTTCATGTGGCTTCGGGTTGGTGCCAGAGTGCCTGGGGGCCAGAGTGACAAGGAGTGACCATTTCCTAAGTCTCATTTTCAGAGAGAAGAAAAGCATTCAGTCTGAGCTTTCTTTTCACATTTCATTAGGCATCTTGTTTTATTCATCCCCAGCCCACCCAACCTTTTTACGAATATGCACACTTTAAGCAGCTCTTTATATATTTCTGCGTGTGAATGATTAGTTTTTGGTAAGTAATTTCCACATGGTGCCTAAAATTCCTTGAATCATTATAATTTCAAGTTATTTCCAATTAGAGAGTGGTTCTGGGCTGCCAAATAGGAAAATCACCATGAAACAAGTTGGTGGCTTACAACTTGCCGTGATGGAGACAGAGAGCTGACCAAGGAGAGAGTGTGTCCTAGGATTAAGATCTTGGATTTTTATCTTATCCAATGAGGGTGTGGACTTGGGAGGCAGGAAGTTCTTTGGCCAGTTTGAACCTGCTTGTCACCTCTTCCTGCAACTTTCTTGGCCCCTGTCCTAACTTCACAAGTGTGGCCAAGCCCGTCTGGGTCTTTTCCTAGATGTGGAGGTAGAGAGATGTCATCTTTAGTAGAAACACAGCTACCTCTGGACATTTAACACCAGTGAGACCAAGGAGTGGGCATGATGCTGTGCTTCTTCCAGGATTTTGGAGCACTTCTGCACCTCCGCAGAGGACTACAGTGTGATTTTCACGGCAGGAAGCACGGCTGCTCTTAAACTGGTGGCAGAGGCCTTCCCGTGGGCGTCCCCAGGCCCGGAGAGCAGCGGGAGTCGGTTCTGTTACCTCACCGACAGCCACACGTCCGTGGTGGGCATGAGGAAGGTCACCACGGCCATGAATGTCACTTCCATCCCAGTAAGGCCAGAGGACATGTGTGTGGCGGAGACACGGGGCACTGCTGCCGGTGACCCTGACTGCCAGCTTCCACATCTCTTCTGTTACCCTGCTCAGAGTAACTTTTCTGGAACCAGATACCCCCTGTCCTGGATAGGAGAGATCAAGGCTGGGCGGATGTGCCCTGTGAGCGTGCCTGGGAAGTGGTTCGTGTTGCTTGACGCGGCCTCCTACGTGAGCACCTCGCCTTTGGACCTGTCAGTTCACCAGGCCGACTTTGTCCCCCTCTCCTTCTATAAGATCTTTGGGTTCCCCACTGGCCTGGGCGCTCTGCTGGTGAATAACCGCGTGGCACCTCTGCTGAGGAAAACCTACTTTGGAGGAGGCACGGCCGCAGCGTACCTTGCGGGACAAGACTTCTATATCCCAAGACAGTCGGTGGCAGAAAGGTAACTTCGCCATGGGAGCAGCTGGCTGGAGTTCAGCCAGGAAGGGGTATGGCCTGTGTCCCCTGTAGGACTGTGTAAGGGACTAGGCTGAGCCACCGGGGATAGAAGGCTTGCAGGCAGGGACGGAGGCTGGTGTCAGGGCTCTGGAAGGCAGAGGTCGGCGGGAGGGTGCCCCAGGCAGCTCGGTGAACTGGGCCCGCATGTGCAGGCTTCTTTGCAGCTGTGAGAGGAGAAGGGCTGCAAGCAGAGGACCTGAAGGGCTCTCAGGAGGGTAAGGAGGCTCGGCCACCAGGCCTTTCCCCAGAGCACAGGCAAGAGGTGCAGCAGTTTATCAAAGCAGTTGTTTAAAAAGGTGGCATCGTCTGGAGCAAGTGTGCATGCATGTCGGCGGCGCAGCTGGTCCTCAGCAGCTGGAATCTGCTCAGCTTGGTAGCAGGCTGGCCAGAAGTATTAGTTCATCCAGAAGCCACCAGACATGCGAGGTGCTGTTAACAGTAGCGAGCCCTGTGCATGACAAAGGAAGTTTGGGGGCAGGGAGCTACTCGCCTGCGGAGGGCAGAGGCCTCTGCCCGGGCTTGCTGGTGTGTGTCTTCGTCAGCCTGCGGGGCAGGGTCTCAGCCCGCAAAGCCCTCTGTCCTAACTGGGAGAGGAGCTATTTATAAGGCAGCAGAGAGAACGTATTCATAGATGATGGAGAAACCTAGAATCAGAACCTTGTTACACACTGCAAGATGCACAGGGAGCTGTCGGCCACAGCTTGACCTTGTTCCCCTCAACACTGTTATAGGTTTGAAGACGGCACCATCTCGTTCCTTGACGTGATAGCACTAAAACATGGATTTGATGCCCTGGAGCGCCTCACAGGTCAGTGGACCCTTCTCTCCAGCAGAATGTGCTCCCATTGTCTGTGGCCTCGAGGGCGTCCTGGCACAGGTGTGATTTAGATAAGGGCATGGGGGGCTCTGCGAGTGGCTGGCACCTGGCAGGTGTATGCCCGATGCAGTTGAAGCTAATTCTAAAGAATTTCAGAATGACTTCTGAGACAAGAGCAAGAGACTGCGCCACCCTCTTAAAGACATTTTTGTCAGTTAAAAGAACATTTTAACAAGTAAGAGACGTTCCAAACCAGGAGATTGGTGGCTTCACAGAGGCAGAAGAGCCAGCCTTGGTCACTGGCCTGGGAATGGTGACAGATCCTGAGACCTTATTCCGCTGTGACCTGGCTGGGTCCTCCCTCCTGTCTCAGGGGGTAGCTGTGTGATGAGGAGCTAATACTCAGAGAAGTTAAATGCCTTCCCCGGCGCCACGGACCTAGTAACTGGGTGGGCTAGGGTTTCAACCTCGGCCATAATAATGCCTAACTTTGCACCCCCGTCTCTGCTGCTGGGCTTTGCAAGGATGCACATTTTCTGTCCCGGTGTTGGGCAGGTGGGGGACACTCACTGTAGGCTGACACACACACAGATGCCGCTTCCCATCGTGTGGGGCTTGACACAAATGTATGGGACTAGAAGAGCCTCTGCCTCGCGAGCCAGGCATCCACCCTCCGTTGTGCTCCTAAGCACTCGCCCAATGGCTGAGCTTCTGGAGCTGGGTGGCGCTGCTTGTACCGTCCAAAAGGAGATGGGGTTGTGGTGAACCAGGGATGTGGCTTAATGATTAGGTGGCCCTTCCTCTCTCTCTGTCTCTCTCTGTCTCTCTCTCATCACAGTAATGGGACCTTTCAGGTTCTCAGCCTGAGTCCAGGAAGGGGAGGTGGGGGACAGACAGGATTCACGTGAGGTGAGGTGACACTGATGGTAATGCAGGGAGGTGATGGACACGACAGTATCTAGGACAAAGAGGAGATAATAAGACGAGCACTGAGAAAGGAGCACTTTCCCAAGGAAAGATATTAATAGATACCCGAGCAGCAATATAGGTCAAACAGTGCCAGGGGCGCCTCAGAAAGTGGGTTGGCAGTACCTGTTCCGTAATAAGGCAAACCTCTGATTGTTCCTACTTCAGTGGTCCTGTGAAAAAACCTGTAGTGAAGTACATATAACATAAAATGTGCCACTGTAGCCAATTTAGTGTACATTTCTGAGGCATTAAGCACGTTTACATTGTTATGCAGCCATCTACCACTGACCATCCCTGGGACGTTTACATCATCTGAGACTGAAGCCCATTCAACAGTAACTCCCCATTCCCCCTCCCCTCCAGCCCCAAGTAATCTCTATTCTTTCTGTCTCTTTGAATTTGCCTCTTCTAGGCACTTATATAAGAGGTCTAATACAATATTTGGCTTATTTTACATAATGTTTTCAAGGTTCATCCATGATTTAACATGTATCCTTAATTGATTTGGATACTATTAAAATGATTTAAACATTAAGGGCTCCTGGGTGGCTCAGTTGGTTGGGCATCTGACTCTTAATTTTGGCTCAGGTCATGATCTCAGGGTCATGGGTTTGAAACACGTGCTGGCCTCTGTGTTGAGGGTGGAGCCTGCTTCAGATTCTCTTTCCCTCTGCCCCTCTCCCCTGTTTGCCCTCTCTCTCTCTCAAAAAAAAATGATTTAAACATTAAAAGAAACAGCAAAAAAAGAGATACTTTTAAAGATAAAATGGTGCTTTTTTGCCATTTGTAACCCAAGGGTCTAAATTATCTGAATGCTTAAGTGACATTATTAAAAAAAGAAGATAAAAAAGAGCATGACAGGAATTCCTATGGAAGATTCCATGGAAACAGCAACAGTAAGGTGTTGCTCAGTCTCCCAGGACTACACATTAACCACGTGGACAGTAGCACACCATATTTACCAGATTTACAATTGTTAATCTGAGGTCCGGCTTTGCCGGTTAGAATGCACTTGTGTTCTTAAAAATGACTGAGTGAATTACATGTGAAGTTCATGATTCTGCCTGACATTTCACAATTGTTTTTGAGGTGGAATGGAGAATATACAGCAGCACACATTTACCTTGGCTCAGTACACCTACACTGCCCTGTGTGCTCTCCGGTATCCCAACGGAGCCCCTGTGGTGCGGATTTACAGCGACTCTGAATTCAGCAGCCCAGAGGTGCAGGGGCCTGTCATCAATTTTAATGTTCTCGACCACAGTGGGAACATCATTGGTTATTCTCAGGTGGGTTTTCTCTTTCCTTCCTTCCTTCCTTCCTTCCTTCCTTCCTTCCTTCCTTCCTTCCTTCCTTCCCTCCCTCCCTCCCTCCCTCCCTCCCTCCCTCCCTCCCTCCCTTCATAATTTATTGACAAGTCAGTTAACATACAATGTATACAATGTAGTTGGCTTCGGGAATAGATTTCCATGATTCATCTTACATACAACACCCAGTGCTCATCCCAAGTGTCCTCCTCAATGTCTATCTCCCATTTTCCCTGTTCCCCCAACCCCCCACCCCATCAACCATCAGTTTGTTCTCTGTATTTAAAAGTCTTTTATGGTTTGCTTCCTTCTCTGTTTGAAACTTATTTTTCCTTCCTTTCCCCTATGGTGTTCTGTTAAGTTTCTCAAATTCCACATATGAGTGAAAACATATGATATCTGTATTTTTCTGACTGACTTATTTCACTCAGCATAATACCCTCCAGTTCCCATCACATTGTTGCAAATGGCAAGATTTTGTTCCTTTTCATAGCTGAGTAGCATTCCATTGTGTATATATCCAGGTGGGTTTTCTTGTCACCTTGGGCACCTGTTCACAGCAGAATTGCTCTCCCCTGAACTCTATAGCCTTTTGGACCCCTAAACTTCGCAGTCCAGGTCTCTGAGTCCTTGCAGTAGCTGTGAAAAGAGCAACCTGTGTGTGGTTGGAGAGGCCTGGCCCTTCCTTAGAGGCTCTATTCTCTGATTTGCACTCAGGTCTAACAGGCATGGCTATTTAGTTTACCAGCCCTCCTTTTTTTCAGCCAGAAATTGTCATTTTCAGGTGTGGAGAGAAAGGGTCCAAGTCCTTGATAGCAGTGGAAGGTGACAGATGACAGCTTGCCAGCAAGGGAAGACATCCTAAAACAGTGTAGACAGAAAATCAGTGTAGACAGAATACCATGTCTGAGGTCATTTCATGTGTATTCAGCATGGTAGCCCCATGATACATCAGACAGCATCACAGCATCACACAAAATATGGGCCTGTTCCCACCATGTATTTGCCTGTGGCTTGGATCAGAACTCCTTCTTTGTGATAAGCAGAAATAAATGATGTCCTTAGTATCACAAAAGCCCTTATTTCTGCCATAGTTCGTGCATATTATGAGTTCGAAGGATTTAGTAGTTTGGTTATAACCTAGTTTGTGCAGATATATCCTTTGTATTTATTTTCCCATGAAAACAGTGCAAATAGTGGTTTGCATGCTGGGAACTCTTGAGTCCTTGCCTTAGCTGAGGCAGCTGGTCACTGCTCAGTCCATCAAAATGTCCGGAGGCATACCAAGGACTCAGACATGGTGACAGATGGCCTCCAAATGCATTGTGACAGACCGACAAGGATGGGAGCCCAAGGTCCTTCCCAGATCATGAGTTCCTAAAGCAGCTCTGTGAGGAGCAGTTTCAAGGGTCAGAAAAGTTCAGAAGACAATGTTCACTTTCCCTTGAGAGCCATAATCCGCATTCACCTTTGTTAAATGCAGAATTTCTCAAAGTCCTTTTCTCAAGGGATCATTCCTCCACTCCTTCTCTGAGGAACGCAGTTGAGAACTATTCTTCTGGGGACTTGTCCATTCTTAATGGTATCCGGGAGTGGACCCTCTACAACCACAGGTTGTCTCTTGGGTGGGTTCACTGTGTAGACGCCCCTTAGTTATACACTGGCAGCCTGACGCCACTAAGAACCAGGCAATTTTGAATGCTTTTGGTGGTAGCGGGGGAAGGGGTGGTGGAAAATGGAAAATGCATGATGAGTAAAAGTTTTGCCTTCTTAAATATGTTATTCTGGGTGATTGGTTAAAGTAAGTTTCAATCTTGGATCTAAATAAGTTGTATTTCCCTCGAGGTATAGAGGAGGGCAGGCAGGTGACCATGACATGTAGGGTGGCAGGCAGAGCAGGGAGAGAATTCCTCACTGGCCTTGAGATGCTTCAAAGAGGAGGAAGAGCCTGGGGGCGTGGTGGGGGTCTGGGTGCCCCGCCACCTTTATCAGGACTCTGGTTCCCCGAGGCCAGACATGGGATGAGTTTCTCCCTCTGTGCATTTCTAGAGGAGGCTCATATAATGAGTGGATTCCATGGCTGAGGCGTGGCCAGCTGTGCGACTCAGGAAAGTCCAGCATGGTTTTCCTGGGCCACCTCACTGTGTGGGAATTCCATAGGAACTTTGGTGGCCTTCGGAAAGATTAGATGTGTCATGGTGGGGTTTGGCTCTCTTTTCAGGGATCTGTAAAAGAATTGAGCTTTCTTCTTTTTTTAAAAAAAAAAAATTTAATGTTTATTTTAGAGAGAGAGAGAACAATCAGGGGAGGGCCAGAGAGAGAGGGAGACAGAATCCGAAGCAAGCTCCAAGCTCCGAGCTGTCAGCACAGAGCCTGATGCAGAGCTCAAACTCTACGAACTGTGAGATCATGACCTGAGCCAAAGTCAGAGGCTCACCCGACTGAGCCACCCAGGTGCCTCAAGAATTGAGCTTTCTGTAAGAAGCTTTTGAGTTCTCGGTTTTGATATCCAGTCCTCCTAATTTCATTCTCTACACAGTGGTTAAAAATGTGGGTCCAGATTCTGGCTGCCTTTTGCTTGGCTCTCTGAGCTTGGGCAAGTTAATGTAAGCTCTCCAAGTCTCCATGAAATGGGGATAACAAAGTGCCCTGCTGATAGTGTTGCTAATGAGGACTAAATGAGATACACAGTTTACACGGCCTGAGCAAGGGGCCCTGATATGAAGCAAGGAGGCTCCAGTGTTCACTGTGTGCAGGCTGGTTCCCTGCCTTCCCCGGATGGAGTGCTTATCTTGCCGCAGAAACCAACTCCTTCACCTGGCTGGGCACAGGCCGGGATCCCATAGGGCTTGAGGCTGGAGAGGACTGCCTCATGATGGGAAATTAGGAGCAAGGGGAGGTGTGGCCTAAACAGCCTCTTGTACCCACATCCTCTTCTTTATGGAGGCCTTCTCTCTTCTTGAATCTCAGTGGGTTTGTGACTCTCTCATAACCAGTAAAATGCCACAGAAGTGATGCTGTGTGGCAGAAAAGGCAATGCCACATCAGCATTATTCCTTGGCACATCCACTTTTGGGCCCCAAGTTACCATGTAAGAAATTCTACCCTGAGGCTGCCATGCTGTGAGGAAGCCAAGCCATGTGGAGAGGCCAAGCACAGCCATGATGGTGGCGATCCTGTTTTGAGCCTTCCTGGCTAGGGGACCAGACACACATATGCATAAATAAGTCTCTAGATGATTCCAACTCCCAGACACCATGTCACTGCCAGCCTCAGAGACTTCCCAGCTGGGACTTGAGAAATCATGGAGCAGAGTCAAGCATCTCCTCTGTGCTCTTTCTGAATTCCTGACCTACTGTAGCTGTGAGCACAATAAGATGGCTATTATTTTATCCCCCCGCCCCCCAACATTTGGTGGCTTGTTTCGCAGCAATGGTAACCGGAATAGTGAATGTGGGGTGGGGGTGGGGTGGGTACAGGAGACTTCTAATTCCACTTGGTAGGAGTTGGGGTGGACAGTGAGGGAACTTCCCTAGCAGCTGCCCATTGAATAGAGGCCACCTGACCCTGGAGATGGAGTTGGCCAGACCCAGTGGTGCTGCCAGGTCTTGGCTCAGAGAGCTAGGGAACATCTGGATTTCATTAGCAGGCCTCAACGTCACTGAGCTGTTTGCCCAGAGCAAAGGAGCAGAGTTGTTTTCCTGAGGCTCCCTCAGTTCAACCCAGACAATGGCTTCTTCTCTGACAGTCCAGGGGAGGCAGCTAAAATGACAGCCATGGTCTCAACAGCGTGGGAAGCACCACTGGTATGCTCAGCCTGGCTGGGAGCGGGTGCTGGCTGTGTGGTGACCTGTGGTCTGTGGAGGGTGCTGTACTGCTCCTGGCTGCCTCTGGCTACCCCACGCTGTGAATTCCTGGGGAGAAAACTTTCAAAGATTTGCCCAGCTGGGCAAGATGTGTTTGTTTTCCCAAATGCAGTTCAGTGATTCCCCTGAGTTTAGCCTAAGCCACCCAGGCTGAGGACTCCCATCGGACTCCTAGACCCTTGGGAGAATGGAACCCGGCAAATATCCCCCATGCTAGCCCTGCCTGTGAGCCTTGGATGAAAGCAGATCACCTGTCAGAGTCTTCAGGAATCAGGAAAGAGCCTTGGAGCTTATAGATTGAGTAGCAATTCTGTGATTCAACCTAGAGTAAGGGACATTATGGAAAGCACATTGATAATATCCAGTGTCGACACGGTAATGTGTGTAGCCCAGGCTGTGCACCCAGACAAGGCTGCTCCGAGTGGTAGCTCAGCTGGGAACTGCTCTGTGATCACCCCTGTGGCACAGGATGCCAAGGAGCTGCCCCACGTCCAGGTGCAAATCTCATTGGAGCATGTGGGCTCTTTTTAAGAAAAGTATTTCATTATTTTAAAAAGTTGGGGCACCCATGTGGCTCAGTTAGTTGAGCGTCTGACTCTTGACTTTGGCTCAGGTCATGATCCCAGCGTCATGGGATCGAGCCTCACATTGGAGTCTGTGCTGAGCAGGGAGCCTGCCTGGGATTCTCTCTGTCTTTCTCCCTCTGCCCCTCCCCTGCTTGCATGTGCACATGCACTCCCTCCATCAAATTAAAACAAAATCGAGATAAAATTGACATAGAATATTGTATTACTTTTAGGTGTACAACATAATTATTTGATATGTGTATATAATGTAAAATGATTACTACAGCAAGTCTAGTTAACATCTATCACCATACATAGTTACAGATTTTTTTCTTGTGATGACAACTTTTAAGATTTACTCTCTTAGCAACTTTCAAACACATATAACACAGTATCATCCACTATCATCACTATGCTGTACATTATATCCCTAGAACTTATTTATCTTATGACTAGGAGTTTGTATCTTTTGGCCACCTTTACCCACTTTGCTCACTCCGCCTCCAACCTCTGACAGCCATCAATCTGTAATCCATATCTATGAGTCTGATTTTTTCTTTTGTTCCACCTATAAGTGATATATAGTATTTGTATTTGACATTTTTAGTGTTATCTGATTTTTTAAAAATTTAAAGCCAAGTTACTTAACATATATTATAATAATGGTTTCCGAAGTAGAATTTAGTGATTCATCACTTACATATAATACCTGGTGCTCATCACAACAAATACCTTCCTTAATGCCCGTCACCCATTTAGCCCATCTTCCCCACAGCATGTCCTCGAGGTCCATCCATATTGTCACAAATGATAGATTTCCTTGTTTTCTTTTTTTATGACTGAAAAATATTCCATTGTGTATACACCCCCCCCCAAATTTTCTTTATTCTTTCATCCTTTGATGGATACCTAAGTTGTTTCCATGTCTTAGGTATTGTAAATAATGCTGCAATGAACATGGGGTGTACATATCTTTTCAAGATAGTATTTTCATTTTCTTCAGGTAGATATTCAGAAGGGGGATTGCGAGATCACAGGGTAGCTCTTTTTTCAATTTTTTGAGGAGCCTTTATGCTGTTTTCCAGAGAGGCTGTGGCAACTTACATTCTCACCAACAGAACATGAGGGTTTCTTTTCTCTACATTGTTTCCAACACTTGTTATTTCTGTTTTCTTTGTAATAGGTGTGCCATAATATCTCATTGTTGCTTTGCCTTACATTTCCCCGATGACTAGTGATATTCAACATCTTTTCACGTACTGCTTGGCCCTTTGTATGTCCTCTTTGGAAAGATGTCTATTCAAATCTTCTGTCCATTTTTAATAGCACTATTTGTTGAAACATAAGCTCCTAACGTGGGAGTTTGGCCTGAATTTGGTATTTTCGGTTTTCTCAGGCATACGTTATAATCCATTTGGATAAACTGTAATTATCAGTGACATTTTAGTAAACCCATGATAGAACATGGCACTTGAGAGCAAAATTCCAAGCACATATTTTCATTTTATTGTTAGGAAAAAGAGGTCCAAATATTGATCTGAAACTCTCTTTCAGATGATCAGAATAAAACTGGACATCCTTAACACTGGTCTCATGTTATGTTGACCCTGCAGGTGGATAAAATGGCCAGTCTTCACAACATTCACGTGCGAACCGGCTGCTTCTGTAACACTGGGGCCTGCCAGAGGCACCTGGGGATAAGCGACGAGATGGTCAAGAAGCATCTTCAGGTTGGTAATGCTGGTCATTACTATTGGTCAGCAAGACCCAATGGTGGCATCTCCAGCCACCCTGGAGGCTGGTCTTACGTCTGGGGTGAGGGCCGGTTCTGTGCACTGGACTCATTTCTCCGAGCCCACCCTGGGGATGAGCAAAGGAAAAAGGGGTCAACAAAAAAAGAAAACAGCATCGTTGTAGCATTCATCTTTTACTTTGAGGGCAAAATTTTAAGGCAGAGGATGGGTGTTAGTAGGGGGCAAGCATGTGCTTCTGTGTGCAGAGGGCCCTTAACTAGTTCAGTCCTACCAGAATATCTCCACACTAGAGTTAGTTCATTGCTGGGTGAGGAGAGAAACTCTTCCAGGGGCCATTCTGCATCTCCCAGAATCCTCTCGTCCCTCCTTCTCCCCTGGGCTGAGGGTTTTCACTTCAGGGTACAGCTACTATTTTGAACCATTTAATAAGAATAGTTTCTAACTTGAGTTTCTGTTGGGTGTCACTAAATATTGTATATACTAGATCCCAACCAACCATGAACTGGATTTTATTTCAAAAGAGAGAGGAAGTCCCAGAATACAAACAAATGCAGTTCCAGATGTAGTATTTGATCCTGCGGAGCGTTGTGGCCCCAGCTCTTTGGGACCGACCTGGGTTCAGCACTGGGAGAGGTGGGTGGCCAGAGAAGCGACCAACACCGGGCAGCCCAGCTTGGAGAGGCTTGGGGACTTCTTGTCTTTCTCTCTCCACCTCCCAGCAGGAGCACCCAGCCTGACTTTGGCTTTGGGTAGGCCTTGTCTGGTCACTCCCAGAGGGAGCACGTCTGTCTTGCCTTCTTGTCAAACGGCAGCTGTCAGGGACCCAGCCCTCCCTTTGGTTCTGAGGGAGGCTCAAGGGAGCAGCCAAAAGGCGTTTCTCCTGCCACAGCCCTGGGTAGACAAGAAGCTGACCCGTAGTGCTTCTGAAACTTTGGTCTGTCTTTGGAGGGGTCTGTGGGTTGGCATTGTGTGCGGCTCTGAAGTATTTCTTTTAAACTTTTTAATGATCCGTTGAGATTGGTATTGGCCCCAATTTATACTTGAGCAAAGTGAGACTCCAGAAAGGGAGTCCTTGCCTCTGGCAAACAGCATGTATTAGTGTTGCGATTTTGTGTTCCTGGGTGAATTTTCTTCTACAAAACTATTTCCGACTTATCCATGAGGAATGAGTCACTCCAAATGGCTTATTTCCCTTGTATTCTAGGCCGGTCATGTCTGTGGAGATGATGTGGACCTCATAGATGGGCATCCTACAGGATCTGTGAGGATTTCTTTTGGATATATGTCTACACTTGAGGATGCCCAGGCCTTTCTCAGGTTCATCATGGCAATGCAGCTGCACCAGTGTGATGGCCAGCCTCTTCCTCAGACTATCCCTGGGGAGGCTGGAGCCCCGCCAGAGAGTGAGGCTCAGGACGCTGTGCCTGCCACCGTGGACAGATGTAGTTCCTCACCTCAGGAAGATGCTCCCACAGACGCTGGGCTTTCCAACGACTTGCCTCCCAATGTGGCTGCAGTGGGCTTGCACCCACCTCTGCTGACGGCCAGCAGAACCCAGCAGACCCCTTCAGAGAAAGCAGCAGGAGTCCTGGATGGGGGCCTTGGGCCACACGTCATCACCAACCTTTACCTCTACCCAATTAAATCCTGTGCTGCATTTGAGGTAAGGGTTTTAATGACAGCACAGAGACATGATGAGCTGTCCTCCTGCCTCTCTTGGTTGGGGCTGACTATTGAATATGGCTCTGCTTAGACAGACTCCTGAGAGGCCCCTGTTTCTGAGTGATGGATACCTAGTTACTCTTAATAATTATGGACATAGGTTTCACTGAGTGTGTGTGTGCTGGTTCCCTGCTGAAGTATTTTACCTAGGTTCCAATTTTTAAACAACAATATGTGGGGTGCCTGAGTGGCTCAGTCGGTGGAGCATCGGACTTTGGCTCAGGTCATGATCTCACGGTTCCTGGGTTCGAGCCCCGCATTGGGCTCTGTGCTGATGGCTCAGAGCCTGGAGCCTTTCTTGGATTCTGTATGTGTGTGTCTCTCTCTGTCCCTCCTCTGTTCATGCTCTCTTTCTCTCTCTCTCTCTCTCTCTCTGAAAACAAATAAATAAAACATTAAAAAATTTTAAAAATAAAACAACAATATGTGGGAGTGATAATATCATCCCCATTTTATAGCTATGGAGCATGAGGGCTATTGAGGTTAGGTACTTTGCCCAGTAATCAATGATAGAGTAAAGATTTGAGCCCAGGTCTGCTGACTCCTTGGGTCAATGCTTTCATGTGACTTGTTCTGCTCAACCCCCCCTGCGGATATGAGCTACATATGTCTTGAAATGTGCTGGCCTGGTGGTTAGCTGAGCTACGAGACTAGAGTGTCCTCCTTGGCTGACCAGCCAGTCCTGACGTCCCTCTGTGGCCAAACTGAGGCTATCTTTCTATAATCTGTGTATGTACCAAGTCCCAGGCAAAGGTCCCAGATTCCCAAGGCTCTGGGGTAACAGGCTTGCTAGTTCCTGGTCGTATATCTCATGGTCATGGCTGTTTGTTGCCTGCCATTCAGGGTGGTCCCATGGGAGCCTGTCCTCTAAGCTGAGACCATAAACAAGCAACCTCATCTTCACTCTCTAATGGAGGAGGGTGAGGAGTCCATGTTTCCCCTGTGTGTTGGGACTCTTATTTTCACAGATAGGTCATGTTTCATAGGATAGCCACATAGCAGAAATACTCTGGGCAGGCATTAGTGCCCATTTTACAGATAAGGACACTGATACTCAACAAGGTTTGCTAAAGATCTTCTATCCATCTGCTCATTCAAAAACTGCTTACCAAGCACCCACTACCTTCTAGGCCTTGGGCCAGCACCATTTTGATGAGCAAAATGGAAATTGTTCCTTCCCTCAGACAGTGCAACATCTCAGAAGGGAAACAGACAGAAGACCAAACACCACCTATGAATAGAATCACGCTGGTGATACAGGCCAAGAAGGCAAGAAATGGGATGTACCAGATAGAGTTCTGGTGGATGGATGTTTTAGTCCATTCAACTGTATGGCTTATAAACAAATATTTATTTCTCATGATTCTGGAGACTGAAAATCTACGATCATGGTGCTGGCAGTTTCGATGTCCAGTGAGGGCTCACTTCTGGTTTATAGAGTCTTCTCACTGTGTCCTCACATGGCAGAGGGGTGGGGGAGCTCTCTGGGGCCTCTTTTATAAGACCTTTAATCACATTTATGACAGCCCCACCCTTATGACCTGGTCACCTCCCAAGTCCTCCTAACCATCAATGTGATGGTATTAACTGAGATTTCCTTGCAATTTCTGTATTTTTGGCAGAAATTCTGTAAGAGTGATACTATGCTTTCTCGGTGCATCCCAGAAGGAGACACACACTGTTAATTTGTTCCAGTGCTGGTGACATTAACTTTTATCACTTGCTTAAGATGGGGTCTGCCAGGTTTCTCTACCATTAAGTTCATTAATGAATAATTAATCAATATTTGTGGAAGGATAGTTTGAGAACATGTAAATACCTCTTCCTTGTCAACTTTTATTCACTAGATTTAGCATCTGTTGGTGGGCAGCCTACATCAGTGCCTAAGTTAGTGATTGGTATGATGGCTGCAAAATGGTAATTTAAGAACTTCTATCACTCCTTCTAGATTTATCAGTAGGTATCCTATTATAGGATAGAGCTATCTTTCTTCCATGTTTATTTCATCATTAACTCTTCTCTCTCTCTTTCTTTTTGTATCTGCATGGACTCATGTATTCTTATTTTGCTCAGAATATTACAACCCATTATAGTCAGTACTTATATTTTAATTTATTTTTTCAAATATTGGGGCACCTGGGCAGCACAGTCTGCTAAGTGTCCAACCTCAGCTCAGGTCATGATCTCGCAGTCTGTGAGTTCGAGCCCTACGTTGGGCTCTGTGCTGACAGCTTAGAGCCTGGAGCCTGCTTTGGATTCTGTATCTCCCTATCTCTCTGCCTCTCCAATGCTCAAAGTCTGTCTCTCTCTGTCTCTCTCTCAAAAATATGTAAACATTTAAAAAACTTTTAAAAATGTTTATTTATTTATTTTGAGAGAGAGAGAGAGAGAGAGAGAGAGAGAGAGAGAGAGCACAGGCACATGAGCAGGGGAGAGGCAGAGAGAGAATCCCAAGCAGGCTCCACATTCAGCACAGAGCCAAACATGGGACTCAGTTGTGTCCCCTGAGATATGACCTGAGCTGAAATCAAATGTTGGATGACTAAGCCACCCAGGTGCCCATCAATGTTTATTGTGATGCTTAAATTGCCACAGAGTTGGCCACTGGGAGCTCCTTCAAATCAGCTCCTGTGTCCTTTTGATATGTCTCCATCATTCTTTGAGCATTCCCGTACTTTCTGGTGCAATAATATGTTCTAGACTCACTCTGTATTTCCCCTGCCTGAGAAATGGAGTTGACCATTTCATCAAGGCACTTCACTTCTTATATTAGAGAATGAATGATGCTGAGAAACATATATTTGGTTGTTAGGACTGATTCTTGCTTCTGTGATGTTATTGTTCCCAAGCCCTCTCAGTGTACAGAGCTTAGAAATATTTGCTGCTGTGACAAATTATCATAAACTTTTAACAGGACTCATCTGATGAGATTGAGCCCACCAGGAAAATCCAGGAAGATCTCCCCATTTCAGGGTCTTCAGCTTTAATCACACCTCCAAGTCCTTTTTGCCTAATTCCAGGGATTAGGATATGGACATGTTTGGGGCACCATTATTCTGTCCACCACACATATGTAGGTGTTAAGACTTTTGGGATACTCTGCATACTTGTTTGTACACACACATCTATATCTATCTATCTATCTATCTATCTATCTATCTATCTATCTATCTATCATCTATCAGTCATCTGTGTTAGTTAGCCATGCTCCTGATTTCCCACTAACACCTCCACTTTTACTCCAACACCACATAGTTTATTCTATTTATCCCCCTTTCCATACTTGAAACCCCTGTGAGAAACTTTGCTTCCATATCTTCAACAGATGTTTATTTGCTCAACTCCACCGTATGTAACCAAACCCCACCTTAGTGGGGTACCCCCCCACTTTAGTACATGCACATTGGCTGAAAGCTTGACTCAGATGAAGAGGAAGAAGAAAGGAGGAAGGGAGAAGCCAACACATTAAATTTTAAGGTCACAAGTTAAAGGATAGAAAATATAGACCTATTTGAACAAATAGTTGTGAAGAACTGTGAAGAGTCTGACTTTTCCCTCTTTGTAAGCTAACAAGCCAGCCTGCCACAGTGTCCTCAATGCTGACAAAAGACATGAGACTCCCGGTTCAGAGATAAAGGGTTTTATTACTCACAGAGCAGCAGGCAGCATGAGCTTCATGTTTGTGTTGCTTCTCTGTGCTCCCCAAGTCGTAACAGGCGGTAATAGAGGGACCCAGGTGGATGCTGTGCATATCCCTCACTCAGGGAAACTGACTCTTTCATAATGGGATGTGAGCAAACTGCCTGGCTGCTGCTTTGGAGGAAGACATTGTAATACTGGACTGTGAGCAAACCTGTTCTCCCCAGAGGTTATATAAACATCTCCAAAAAGATAGTTTGGAACAAAAGGGCAGTTAGTGCTTCTGCTTGTTATAGCAGACATACAGCAGAAATGAGAGACCATGGAGAATTGTGTCCAGTAATACATTGTCTTCTAAAAAGCTATTTGTAATTCAAAACATGTTTTCCTATAGAAATAATGATTTATGGTGGTTCTGGGCTTACCCATAAAGGCTTATATAGACCATAATATTGCTGAGCTGGAGTGTTCTACTAACAGAGGCAGCTACAGTCAATGGGGAGAGTATTTGATACACAAAAAAATTGATGGGAGAGGTAAAGTGATGTACATCTATCAATTATCTGATATATTTTAGTTGCTTTACATTTTATATTTCATTTTAGTTTTTAGCCAATACTATGAGAAATGAGAATAATGTTCATCTTACCTATGACAAAGCCAAGACTCAGGAAGTTTAGGAAGTTGTTCAAAAGTAATAGTGGTTAGGGGCGCCTGGGTGGCTTAGTCGGTTATGCGTCCGACTTTCACTTAGGTCATGATCTCGCGGTTCGTGGGTTCGAGCCCCGCGTCGGGCTCTGTGCTGACTGCCAGCTCAGAGCCTGGAGCCTGTTTCAGTCTGTGACTCCCTGTCTCTCTGACCCTCCCCTGCTCCCGCTGTCTCTCTCTCTCTCTCTCCTAGAAATAAAAACATTAAAAAAATTAAAAAAAAAGTGATAGTGGTTGAGGTGGGATTTAAACCCAGGTCTGTCAGTCCCCAGGGTACTCCCACCCCTCATTAACATCATTAACATGACATTTCCGTTTCCTGAGTACAGGGCTCACCCTGCTTGAGGTGAAGTTTACTTGACATTCTTCCTCCTTGAGTTCTGTGCCCTCCCCCTGTGCCGTGCAGCTCCTCTCCTTCACTTTCTGTGGTGCCTCCGTCTTCCCTGATGTCCTTCACTGGAAGACCCACCCCCCAAAATGCTCCTTCGTTAAAAAATGCTTCCCTTTCTTCATTACCCACAATTGAAGTTCTTCAGGTTCTTTCGAGAAGCTGAATCTAGTGCTCAAAGGAAAACAATTGCATGAAATTGTTTCACAATTGGTTCAAGAATTATTATCTCTTAAGTATTTCAAAAGCGTTTTTTTCCACCTTGCCTGTGCTTCTCTTCGGTGGAGAGCTGGCTCCAGAAGCGCCCTCACGGATGAGGCTACTGCGCATGTGCTGTCACATGGGCGCTGCTAGCAAGTAAGCTGTGGACAAAACTCCTGTGAAGACCTGGTCATACTTCATTGAAATGTCGTGATTTTTTTCCTAATGGCCTTTTTCTGTTACAGGATTTCATCCAGGATGTCATAGTATATTTAGCGGTCATGTCTCCGTACACTTATATAGGCTATACCAATTTCTCAGACTTTCCTTGTTCTTGATGACCTTGACAATTTTGAGGAGTACTGGTCATATTTTTTAGCATGTCCCTCAATTTGGGTTTGTCTGATGTCTTTATCATGATTAGACAGGGGTTATGAGCTTTTTGGGGGGAGGAAGACCACAGAGGTAACGTGTTACTCTCATCATATCATGTATATCTGTATCATATCATATAGCAAAACATATTATTAGTATATACTACCAACATGATTTATTGCTATTGATGTGAACCCTGATCATCCAGGTTGAGATGATGTTTGCCAAGTTTGTTCACTGTAAAGTTTCTCCTCCACCCCTTTTCCACACTGAACTCTTTGGAAGCCAGTCAAGAAGGATAGCCCACATGTAAGGAGTGGGGAGTTATGCTTCTTGAGTGGGAAGCATCTACATCAATTCTTTGAGGTTCTTCTGTATAGGAGATTTAACTTTTCTTATTTACATATTTGTGTATTTATTATTTATTCAAGCATTTATTTATTTGGTATTGACTCATGCATATTTATTTTATACGTTGGGCTATAATCGAATACATTAAAAAAATTTTTTTTTGCTCAAATTGTTTTGAGCAGTCTTGGCCAGAGTCATGCTTTCAGTTGACTCCTGCATCCCTTTGCCATACTCCTATCATTCTCTTTTTTGAGTACTTCCTTACTTTTCTACCACCGCCAGATGCTCCTGATCCAGTCCTAGAATCAATCATTTCTCCAAGGAATCCCAGTTCTTTTATATTGGAGCATGGTATTAGATTGCAAGATCTATATGGTCAGTGGGTATAGTTTATATTTTAATTTTGTAGAAATATGAAGAATTCAGGAAAACTTATACACTTCAAGTGGACCAACTCAGTGACCATTCCGGTGTAGCCACAATTTGTGCAAGGAATATGTCTGCAGGATCAGGGTATGCCTGTACAGGCATTTACCATGTGGAAGCGTATATAGAGAGCAGGAGTGATGGAGGCTTATGGGGAGGGGAGCTGGGGTACTGGGTGGGGCGGAGACTTACTTTCCGTGCACATTTTTGTTCTCTTTGAAAATTGCTCCATGTGCACACATTACCCATGTAAAAGACAGGTCGAAGAGGAGAAGAGTAGGATGTGGATCTGGAGGGTGAATTGAAGGTATCTAGGTCTCTCACCGTCTCTTTTGTAGTGTCTTCTATGCTTTACTTTCTTTTTTTCCTTCATTTCCTCCTCCAAGAGTATGTACTGAATTCATGAAGATCATCCGTACTTGTGCAGCCACTGTACAATAGTGTGAAGACCATTTTGAGGAGCCCTGCCCTAAAAAACACTTACCTTTTTGTTTAGGTGACCAAGTGGCCTATAGGAAATCAAGGGCTGCTGTATGACCGCAGCTGGATGGTTGTGAATCGCAATGGTGTTTGCCTGAGTCAGAAGCAGGAGCCCCGGCTCTGCCTGATCCAGCCCTTCATTGACCTGCAGCAAAAGATCATGGTCATCAAAGCCAAAGGTGTGAAAACTGAGTTCATTTTCACAAATTAAAAATAACAAGAGTAGTTTTTATCCTCATATGAAAGCAAAATAATAGGTTTTCCTCTGCCAAATATTAAAATAATCCTGAAGGAAGTGAAATGATGTCTGTAAGACATCTCGTGTTTTGAGAAATTTCTGGAGAGAGGCAAAGATCTAATGAATCAATCAAAGAATAAAATTTGAAATTATATGTCTTTTTACTTACATTCTCTTTACTTCCATCACCTGTCATGATATGTACTCAAACTTTCATTCTTCCTTGTTGATGTTTTGTTATGAACTATCTAAAAAGTATAGATCGGCTCTGTGCAATGGAATTTTATTTGATGATGGAAATGTCCAGTATCTATCTAGTCCAAATTGATAGCCATTAGTTACTATAGCTCAATATGTGGCTATTGAGGACATGAAATGTGGCTAGTGGAAAGTGTACAGTTTGGGAGTTTTTTGGTGCATTTACAATAGCCTCTTCTGGATATTTCATATAAAAGGAATTGTGCAGTATATGACTGGGTTCTTTCACTTAGCATCATCTTTTATTTTTAGTTATTATTCTATTTAATTTATTTTTTAAAATTTACATTCAAGTTAATTAACATATAGTGCAACAATGATTTCAGTAGATTCCTTAATGCCCCTTACCCAGGTAGCACCCCCTCCCACAACCTCTCCAGCAACTCTGTTTGTTCCCCATATTTGAGTCTCTTATGTTTTTGTCCCTCTCCTTGTTTTTATATTATTTTTGCTTCCCTTCCCTCATGTTCATCTGTTTTGTATCTTCAAGTCCTCACATGAGTTAGCATCATGTTTTTGAGGGTCATCTATATTGTTGAATAATATTCCATTGTATGGATATACCATTAAAAAATCCATTTATTAGTTGGTGGATATTTAGATTGTTTCCACTTTTTGGCTATTTGAAGTCATGCTTCTCTGAACATTTGTGTATAAGTTTTTGTGTGGACATATGTTTTCAATTCTATTGGGTCTGTCCCTTGGGGTAGAATTGCTGGATCATGTGGGAAATCTATGTTCAGCATTTCCAAAGTTGCTACATCACCATTTTACATTGCCCACCAGCAATGTATGATGGTTCTAATTTTTCCATGTCCCCAGCACTTATTGTTTTCTGTTGTTTTTGTTTATTAATAACCATCAGAGTGGTGTGTAGTGGTATGTTTGTGGCTTTGATTTGCATTTCCTTAATGATTATCTTTTCATGTGTTTATGGGTCATTTATATATCTTCTTCAGAAAAATACCTATTCAGATTCTTTGCCTGTTTATTTTTGAGTTATTGAGTTATAAGAGTCCTTTATATATTCTGTAAAGAAGTCCCTTTTCAGATCTATGATTTTCAAATATTTCCTCCCATTCTGCAGGTTGTCTTTATACCTTCTTGATGGCTCTTTGCTTTTAATCTGCCTATATCACTATTGAGTTTCCTGTATCTAGCATAGAATTGGCTCATGCTTTTTCATCTACTTTGACAATCTGTGTATTTTTATTGGTGTGTCCTGTTGGGATTTTGATTGTAAAAATCACATATTTTGCAGTCATATATCTGTAATCATATTTTTATTGTAATATCACATATTAATTTCAAAACAACTTACATCATTTAATATCAAGTCTTTTATTTACAAAGTGTGTCTCTCCATTTAAGACTTCTTTCTTTAATTACTCCAAAATTTAATAATATTTCCCAGACACATTTATACTTTTTTTTGCTATGTAATAGTTTATTAGAATATTTTTAATACTGTTTTTTTCTATTAAATATTTTAATTGGTTATTAACGCATATAGAAACACTATTGCGTTTTGTATATTAATGTTTTACCCAGGACTTTTTATGAATTCTTGTTTGTTTTATTAGTTGGCCTGAAGATTTTCTCACATATTTTGTATAAATAGGCATATCATCTTCTAATAATGATAATATCATATATTTCTTTCTAATTTTATTTATCTTCTTTTTCTTTATTGCATTGGCTAGGCCTTCTCATATAATGGCAGAGCAGTGACGGAAGATATCCTTCTTTATTACTGATTTAAATAGAATGTCTCAAAAATAAGAATGATACTTGCTGTAGATTTTTGATAGATTTGCTTTGCCGGGCTAATGTAGTTCTTTTCTTATTTAGCCAAGTGATGACTAGTAGTCAATCTTATTGAACACTTTTTCTGTACCTGTTGGTCATCATATTTTTTTTCCTATAGCCTATTAGTGTGATAATTTACATTAGTAGATTGTCTAGTAGTAAATTACCCTTGGACTCTTGTGGGCGAAAACACTAGTTGACAATGATTTTAGGATACACTAATGGATTTGGTTTGCTAATATTTTGTTTAGTATTTTTGTTCCTATTTCTTAGTGATATTGATACATCATCTTCTCTTACTGTGGTTTTCTTATTTAAGTTTAGGTACCCAGGATATTAACATACAAAAATAATTGAGTAGATTGCTTTCTTTCTATTCTCTGTAGCATAAAAATACATATTATGACTAAGTAGAGTTTATCCCAACATGTAAACAATGGGAGAGAGAAAGAAAGCAAATGCCCAATACCTTCCACTCCAAATCAGCAGCACGTTTTGAGGTGGTATGGTCCCCACTCCCAACATGTTTCAGGTACTCTGCTCACTTGCAGGGGACCCCTGCATCGTGGGTGGTGTAACGGCATCCTTTGGCAATGCATGGCAGGCCAAACTAGATAATAAATAGTAAAACAAGACATTAGAATGGTTTCATGTGTGTGATTTGTCACTCCCAAAGATTTTAGGCATCCAGATGTCAGGCTGTTTTATTTCTCTGTATCTCTGAGCTGAGCACATACGTACATAAGGAACTCACTTCCTATGAACTTTGTTAGGGGCCCTTGAGTTCACTTCATGGATGGCTCCCAGACTCTGTTGCCTTAACCAGAGGTCTGCAATGACCTTCAGAAGGCAGCTGAAGGCCAAAGACCTTGTGTGATTTATTTAGAGCCTTGGGTAAGGATAGAAAGAGGCTGAGCACAGGCCTGCCACTTGGGTGTGCACTTGTCTACATGCTGTGGCCCCTGCTGCAGTTACTTCCGCATAACCAATGTTCCGAGCTCGCCGTACTGCTCTCCCCTGTGGGTGCATACCTGGCACTATATCCTTCCATCCACGCTCTTTGGACAGGGCAGCATCTATACTTACTGAGCACAGTGCACTCCTTCTCTGAACTTTATGAGCAATCTGGATTAGCTCTTCTTCTGGTTTTCCCCACACAAGGCCAGGAGTGTGGAACTGGCTGTGCATGTGTAGGGTACAGACAAGCAGGGGACACAGTTCCCTGTAGAATACTAGGTACTCAGATCATTGCATCTCTGCCTTTGTCGTGGTGAAAGCCCTGTTGTGAGGGGCAGGCCTGAGCTGAAGCTCGTGATGTGCCAGTTGGCTGTTCTGTGTTGTGCTCTGTGTGATGAAGAAGGACCAGGATGGGCAGGGACGCAGGTGTGCATGACATGTGCTTGCCCGAGGGACAGGTTGGGCCACTGTGAGCAGTGCGACTGGCAGCCATACTGAGAGGGCTGGAGGGCACAGGTGGGTCACACAGGAGGAGCTCCTTCTTTCAGTGTCCACAGAGTAGGGACTGCCACACATTCCGCTCAGGTGTCTTGGCTCCATGCCTCTCCCTATACTCTTACTGACTCATGGAGGACAAGGGGTGCAGAGTGACAGAGGGCCTGGCAGTTTCAGCCTTTACCAAAGGCCTTTCACTCCTTAATGGCATTGGACCAGTTTCCTCTCATTTCATCCACGTACTTCACTCTGATTTTATTAAAGAATGGATACCACTTTAGCTGGGTAATGGGTATGTGTTAACCATTATTCTTTAAACTGTTACATGCATATGCTCTATAGTCTTCATACATATGATACTTGTAACTAATTTTTTAAAAAAGCTTTCCAACCCCACTAACATAGTAACAGTTTTATTTCTGTCTATCTATCCGTCATGATAACAATGATTGGTATAGGAGTCGAATTTGATGCTAACTCCCAGGGGCTGTTGAGAATTACCACTTCATGCTGATAGCTTTACAGAATGAGCCTTCATGCCTGCCTATTTCTACAGGATGTGAGAGAGCTTAGAGAACAATGACTTTAGGATGTGGAGTCATCCAGACATAGAGAAATCTTCTAAGGGATTTATAGTGTTTCAGCTACCATGGATGTAACTGCCTACGTGCAGGGTCTTCCATAAGAAGGCTGTTTGGGGTACCTACTATTATTGGTAATGACCATGCTAAAGAGAATCTCTGTGTTATAAAGAGATTTCCAAGACCTGGCTAATTATTTGATGCAATCAATTTCCAAGGTCATTACAATTTTCGTATACTTCATGATAATGTACTTTCACTTATATTGTTCTTTTTGTGTGATGATAAATCTGTCTCTAACCTTTGTTCATTAGAGATGGAGCCGATAGAGGTGCCTCTTGAGGAAAATGGTGAACGGACTCAGATTTGCCAAAGCAAGGTCTGTGCAGACAGGTGAGACTCTGCCGCAGGTAAAGATCTCAGGTCCATCTGCAGAGTGACACAGAGAAGGAAGAGAGCAGTGCCCTGTTGATTGGTCCTCAGGTGCACCAGCCCCTCCCAGCCAGTCTGCTGCCTCTTTCCCCTTGTGAACTCCACACTGACCCCACTGACCCCTGCTGTTCTTCAAACCTGCCAAGCTTGTTTCCTAGCCATTTAGGGATACCTGCTGTTATTTATGAAGCTCATTCCTGGTTGTACATTTCCTTTAGCCACATTTGAGATGAATGCTGTTTTCTGGCTGATGAAGAAGTAGTTAGGCTTCTTCTGCTCAGATCCATCAGTGTGCTCAGATGAGTGAAAACAGACGTAGGTTCAATCTCTCAAAGCATCGAAGAGAATGTGAAACTAAATGAGGTTTTATTCTACTCCTCCCTTTCTAGACACAGATAGGCAGCTATTTGATCCAATAAAAATGAAGGATATGACAGGTTTTCTACACTATCTGCCTTGTAATTCCGATGTAGGTTATTAGCAATTTTGCATTATGAATTCTGGTGATGGTAGATTTTAAATAATTTTCTAAAATTTAAATTCTTGGGGTTCCTGGGTGGCTCAGTCGGTTGAGTGTCCAACTCTTGATCTCAGTTCAGGTCTCAATCTCAGGGTTCTGAGTTCAAGCCCTGCATTGGACTCCATGCTGGGCATGGAGGCTACTTAAATTATTTTAAAAATTATTTAAATTCTTTAAATTATATTTAAAATGTCTCTAATATTGCAGAGTTTTATTTTAAAAAAAGCTAGATCAATGAATGTACTTATACTGGTAACTGAAAGGCATAGTGTTCTTCCCACAAACCAGACCAATTATTCCATGTGGCCTGGCCTTGAGGGAAAAGATTAGCCAGGCGCATAGTAAAAATCCAGAACATATGCCTGGGTTCAAGGGCTTCTTAAAGCAAAATATTGGTCTGGAAGCTCTCAAATTCTAAGCTTTGTGGTATTGAGTGGGTATAATTAATATAAACAAGGTCTTTTAAGAGGAACTTCCAAAGCTTCTTATCTGATCTAAAGGCTTCGCACAAGCCCCAGACCTCTGGTCATCCCACACTTTGGGCATCTGCCTGCAGCTTCCTGAGCACACAGTCCCTTAGGCGTTCTTCTCCCTGGGGTCCAGTACTGTAGCTACATCATATTTATTATATTATATTGTATTATATTTTACAATTGAAAATATTTTTGCTATGTATATTATTATTTAAAGGAATACTATAGAACATTCACCACCCCTTCCCCTTTCTTCCCCCAGGGTAAATACTTATAATTGTGGAGAAAAAATTTCAAGCTGGTTGTCAAGTTTTCTTGGCCATCCATGTCAATTGCTCAAACAAAGTTCAAACTTTCAAAGAAGTGCAAAGAAACGGGGCAAAGGTATTACATTTCTGATTGGTTCTTAGGGGACAGGAACTTGGGTTTACCCTTGCATCCCTCAAAATCAGCACATGATTTATGAGTTTGAGCCCCATATTGGGCTCGCTGCTGTCAGCGCAGAGGCTGCTTCAGATCCTCTGTCCCCCTCTCTCTCTGCCCCTCCCTTCCATCTCTGTTAAAAATAAAAAGAAACATTAAAAAAAAAATCAGCCCCTGAAATGGATTCACAGGGTAACTTGCTCTTGTGCAGAAAGCAGGGTGGTCCACAGGACCTATCTGTGGTCTCCAGAATGACCCCGAGGAGGTGGAGGTGGGGTTCCAACCAGCTGTTTTGCCTCTGACAAGCACTCTGTCTCAGTCTGCCATGTTTAGAAGCACAATTTCACTGGGTTAGGTAAAAGCATCGGTAGCTTGGGGGCACCTGGGTCAGTTAAGCATCCAACTTAGGCTCAGGTCATGATCTCACAGCTCGTGAGTTTGAGCCCTGCATTGGGCTCTGTGCTGAGAGCTCAGAGCCTGGGGCCTGCCTCGGATTCTGTGTCTCCCTCTCTCTCTCTGCCCCTCCCTTGCTTGTGCTCTGTCTCTCTCTGAAAAAACAAACATTAGTAGCTCGCTGTGTCCTCAGTTTGTATGTGGGAACGAGAAAACCTGGTTTCTAGTCATGGCTGAGAACTTGGCAAATGTGGAGCCTTGTGGTGCCCAGACTGGTATAGACTTCAGTGCCTTCAGTTTGTAAAAATGCTGGCAGTTTTTCCTGCCATAGCTGTTGTGAGCTGAACGGATACAACAGAGAAGAAAGTACAGTAAAACCTTGGTTTGCGAGCATAATTCGCTCTGGAAGCAGACTTGTACTCTGAAACACTTGTAGTATATCAAAGTGAATTTCCCCATAAGAAATAATGGAAACTCAGATGATTCATTCCACAACCCAAAAATATTCATATAAAAATGATTATGATACAGTGATATAATAAAGAAAAATAAATTAATCTGTATTTACCTTTAAGAACCTTCATGGCTGGTATGAGGAGACAACGGAGAGGAGGGTTATAGTGTAGGATGACTTTCATTATCACTAACAGATGTTGATTACAGTACAGTATTTTAAAAAATGTTAATGTTTATTTATTTTTGAAGGAGAGAGACAGAGTGTGAGCAGGGGAGGGACAGAGAGAGAGGAAGACACAGAATCCACAACAGGCTCCAGGCTCTGAGCTGTCAACACAGAGCTTGGTGTGGGGCTCAAACTTGCGAGTTGTGAGGTCATGACCTGAGCCGAAGTTGGAGGCTTAACCGACTGAGCCACCCAGGTGCCACTACAGTACAGTATTAATAAACTCTTGTCATATACTGTATTTAATGTAACTGGCAATAAGGCAGCAGAGGAAAGGGTCTGTATCTTCAAGTATCCTGACCTAGAATGAAATAAAGCATTCCTAAGCTTAGTCTTGTATGGAAAAGCAAAGGACTGTCCATAGGTGCTTTGAAGTGACAAAAAGTACACTAGTGCCAGTTGTGGGCACTTTCCAATGTTCTGAAGAATTACTGATTTCTGCCAAACACTTGCCTGAGACCGAGCATCCAAGCATTGGACATGATCACCCACAATCCCACAGTGAGAGGGGTGGCAGAAAGAGAGAGAGAGAAAGAAGAACCATTGACTCAGTAGTGATCATGCGACATTCGGTGTCAGGCACTACTCATATTGTAAGACAGTGCTTGTTTATCAAGTTAAACTTTATTGGAAATGTTTGACCAACTTGACAATAAACTATTTGTAAAAAAAATTAAAAAAAAAAAAAAAAGATGATCCTGAGGTCATCCTTACCTGAAATCCATGTCACAAGACTCTAGTCCAGCCAGTCATTGATCAGGAGAGGATCCTTGGTCAGATCATTTTTTTAATTAAAAAAAAATTGATTTCCATCCTGTAAATATCTTCCTGTTCATTTAAATTAAAGAGCATTTCTTCTTTGGAAGAAAAAAAAAAGAAATGTTTGCTCATCTTGCGGAACACTCACAGAACAAATTACTCGCAATCCAAGGTTTCACTGTACTTGGAAGTAAATGGTATCACACAGGAAGAAGAGATCACTTTCAGGTAGACTGTCTGTTCGAGGGCTGGCTTCTCAGGGAAGCCTGGCTGACTGCTCTCCTTAGGACCAGAGCCCCCACCTGAACCTCTTTAGTTTATTCCTGTTTTATTTTCTGTGGAGTGCTTTTTGCATTTGATGGGTCATGCATTTTATTCAGTTATTCTGTGTATTAGATTGTGACAGATTGTAAGCTCTGGGAGGGCAGGGATTTTTATGCACTTGGTTTAGTGCTGCATCCCCTGTGCTCAGAACAGCGTCTGGCACATAGTAGTTGCTCAGTAAATACTAGATGAACAAATGAATGTGTCACTGCCACACCATCGATTAGTGTGGGAATGACCTGGCTTAGTGATTAGCTCCCAGGGAGACTGGCTTATAAATCTGAGTAACATTGTGACAGTATGGGGACCAGTGACTGGATCTTGTGACCTGCACAGATGAACCCATGAATCCCTGAATATGTATGATAGAGAGACAATTCAATGGATATAAAATAATTCTACCCTTAGAAGTGTTGACAATTTGTCATGTCATAAGTTGTACAAGAATCTGAGTTGCTATGTGATGGAAAAAGGGAATAAATGTATGCTCATCTTATTGAGGGGGTGAGCTGATGGTGTTTGGGCATGGGTAAGCTTAGAGACGTGATAAAAGGGGAGAGAGAGAGGGGCAATTCTCTGAGTAGGGACAAACGTGCAAGGAGTGGGGCTCGACAGGTCCGGGGCCACCATCTAAATGAGTTGATAGAGTAAGGTCCAATCATTCCTAGTGCCTGCTGTCTCCTTGGGCTCAGCTGGGTCCTCAGGATGCTTGCTGAGATTACAAAGCAATGGTTGTGGTCCTTCAAGATCTAAGTTTAGAGGCAACGACCTACCAGTAGATAGTGACACTAATATAAAGGTCACAATAAAGGTCTATGCAAAGGGCATGGGTTGAGGGGGAGGTATCTTCTACACAGTGAGTGAGTCACAGATGGCTTCAGGGAGATGACTTTGGAGCTGTGTCTTAATATGAGAGCAGGAGTTTTCTAGGCAGGGAGAGGTGGGGAGCAGTATGGCAGGTCTTGGCATTTGATGGGCCCAGAGAGGTGTTTAGGAGGGTTGAATGTGGGAGGGGAGCCATGGGGGAGAGCTGGGGAGAAAGGATGAATGTTTGGCTGAGGAGTCAGTAAGTGCTACCTGTGGTTGGGGGCACTCATTGAAAGCTCTAAGCTGACGAGTTTCGTGGTGCCACATGTGTTAGAAAGATACTCTTGATGCCATGTGGAGACTGCATCAGAGATGGAGGTGAGGAGGGCACAGGGGCCAGAGAGAAGGTGTCAGTGACTGTCTTCGTGGGAGATGGGGACCTGGGTGAGGCAAAGGTAGGTGCAGAGAGGAGTTTGTTTCTTGCATGATGCAGTATCAGGGAGCGTCAGCTTGAGAATATTATACTTCAAGGATGCCTTTTATGGAAGAGAGGTCTCTGATGGTCTAGGCCACTGGTCTTTGAATATTTTTAGGTTGGTATACCTGATAGGAGCCTTTTTAAGGCTACATTATTTAGGGGCATCTGGGTGGCTCAGTCAGTTAAGCGTCCAACTTTAGTTCAGGTCATGATCTGATGATTTGTGAGTTTGAGCCTCGCATTGGGGTCTGTGCTAATAACTCAGAGCCTGGAGCCTGCTCCAGATTCTGTGTCTCCCTCTCTCTCTGTCTCTCCCTTGCTCACAATGTGTCTCTCTATCTCTCTCAAAAATAAACATTACCCCCCCCATAAAGCTACATTATTTACATTGTCATCTAAATTGGCCAGTGGAATCTCAATACTTAGTGGTTTGGTTTTCAAGAATATTCACTAATATATAGATATAGTTAGATAGATAGGTAGATAAACTGTCTTTTAATGGTCAAGTATTTTATTTCTTTCCTTTTCCTTCTTCAACTTATATTTCCAGTCCACTTCCATGACAGAATTTTATTTTAGTGTTATATATTTTATGCTTGAAAATCTTTCTTTGTTCACTCTACCACATTTATCTGAAACTACAATTATATGTAAATTGAAATGTATACATATTTTTCAAGTTTACTGTGATCAAGAGTCTACGTGTTAGGAGATCCTTTTGGTTAGTTCCTCTTTAATGGTACACAGTTTATCAAGCAACAAAAGTATATTATACATTTTGAAAAATGGTTAATAAACATAAAGAGAAAACATTGTTGAAAAGGAATCTCTTACTGAGGCACTTGAGCCCCGCCCCGCCCCTCCCCGCCCCGCCCTGCCCCATTCATTCCAGTATCCATGAATGAATGTCACCTGTACCAGAATAGCCCATGCTCAGTATGGATTCTTTGCTGGAGAACCTTATTTAAGTCACTAAAAAGCTGGGGACTAAAGGAATTTGGTTAATGCACTGTCACTCAAACCTTTCATCTAAGGCACATGACCAAAGCCCTGAGATCTAACATTATGATGACTTTAATCATCTGTCATGTGGCCGCTTAATTAGGTTGAGCTGTTTTGTGTATAGTGAGGAATGGGATCCTCTCTGACCTAGGGGAGGCCCATTCACCCAAGCTTTAGAGGTTTGTATTTTCTCAGCACACACTCCGGGGCTTTGAATGGGGCTTTTGTTTTCCACCCTGGAGTTTTAGCCTCCCGTGGCAATGTGCCTTAGGAAAGGCGAGGCTTTCTTCTGGGAAGTGCAAGAAGGGCCTTTGCTGAAGGGGCTGGAATCCCTCTCCCGCCTCTGACAGGGCCATTTTAGCATAAAGAACATTTGGAAGTAGCGGATCTGAAAAGCAATTCTCTTAAAAGTATCCATTCTTGTGTACACTGGGTCCCAGACCCTTGGTTTGGAGACACCTCTGTAGGCTTTGGCCCAGCTGATCCCCTTTCTCAAAATCTCCCGCAAAGACAGAGATGGCCTCCCAACGAATGGTCTGACAGAAGGTGCTAGCAGTTCTGGGTGCCCTTGAGATTTTCTTTCACTAGATTTTTTCCCTTCCAGTAGTTTAAAACTTGTATTATTTATTTCTAAAGTCAATATCACACACTTGTCTAAGGACAGAAGACAGCTTTCCCTGACTGGACTCAGATCTTCCCTGGTCTGTGGTCCTCATCAAGGACCCTCTTTCCACCATCTTGGGGAAGCTCCCTATCCCTGCCTCCCTCTCATTTCTCCTTCTCTAAATGTTGCCTCCAGGTCTTCTTTGCTGGGACAATTTCACTTCAGCGTTTTATTATTATTCTTTTTCCAGAGTATTAACAGAGTATTAACAGCTCATTTTCTTTCTGTTTCTGAGAGGTTTGAGCAATGCTTAGAACATTTTTATTATTTCCAGGGCACCATTTTTTTTCCTCTCAAAGATATATTCTCTACTTTTTAAAAATGCAAGTTAATGGAAGCAGGATTCATTTGTATTCCAAGAAAGCAATTCTTTTTCATTTATTTAAACATTTTATCAAGGTATACATGACATATAACACTGTATTACTTTCAGATGTACAGCATAATGATTTGGTGTTTGTATGTATTGAGAAATGGTCACCACAATAAATCTGGTTAACATCTGTCACCACACACAGTTAATTTTTTTCTTGTGATGAGAACTTTTAAGATTTACTCTCTTAGCAACTTTCAAATATGCGGTACAGTGGTATTAACTATAGTCACCATGGTGTGCACTACATCCTCACGATGTATTTATTTTATAACTGAAGCTTGTGTCTTTTGACTCCATCTTGTATCCATCTTGCCTGCCCCCACCCCCTGCGTCTGTTAACCACCAGTCTGTTCTCTGTGTCTATGAGCTTGTTTTGTTTTGTTTGTTTCGGATTCCACATATAAGTGAAGTCATATGGCATTTCTGTCTGACTTATTTCATTTAGTGTAATGTCCTCAGGGTCTATTCATGTTGTCAAAAATGGCAAGATTTCATTATTTTTTTATGGCTGAGTAATTTATATATATAAATATATAATATATTATAATATGTATATTTATTATAGAATATGTATAAATACATTATTATATATATGTATTTGGCAACTTCTTTAAAAATACCCCATCACTTTTAGATCAGTCTTCTGGTTCAACAGCCACCCTTTCTCTGGTGAACGAAGCGCAGTATTTGCTGATAAACACATCCAGTGTTTTGGAGCTTCAGCAGCAGTTAAAGTCCAGGTAAGATCCTCTGCCTAGGGAATAGCAGGCAGGTGTAACCACTTGACCAGGTTTAGCCTGGCGCCTGCCTGGGGGGTCATGGAGTCTAGGTGAGCGACGGAGGCCCCGAGAAGTTACAAAGCCTTTTGGGTCCAGTTCCCACATCTCTCTTGATGACTTCATGATGCTAAGTGAACCCCAACTGTCATTTTTAATCATTCCATTTCTTAGCATTTGCTTTAATTGAATTGAACTTGACCCAATTTTGTTGCCCGCACCCCCACCTGCCCCCTGTCCCCTAGGAGCCTTGCCCTACTTCTACAGTCATTTTGAGTGAAAAGAAGGGTAGTTATGAAAGCTTTAAAGTTGTAACTATAGATATTATTTGTTTGTATCAGCAGACAGAGCTGGCTGCTCACTTCCACCCAAGGTGCTTCCAAGGGCCCTGACGTATTAGCAGGTCACCTCCAGAAAGAGTTAGTTCAACCCCCTTCATCGTATTTAGAGGAAATTGAAGTCCCACGGTAATCAGACAGTTAGAGCAAAAAAACCTGCCCCACTGTTACGTGAGAGCTGCGACTGGCTGCTTATTCCCAGTGCACAGACTAGGAGAGGTGTGCACAAGGCTGTCACCATGAGCCAGGGATCCTGTGACTCTCACGTGCCTTGTGGTCTCGGGCACATGTGTGTGTACTCAGAAACATGTACAAATGTAGCTTAATAAAAATGACAAAGATGGACTGTTTGTAATGATTCCTGTTTATAGTCATTGGCAAAAACATACAACAGAGTTCCCTGGCCATGGCCTCGCTCGCCCTCCTTGGGTATGTAAGTATGATGCAGCTTCATGGTCCCTGGGAGTTCACAGAACTATCCCGGCACCTCCTCAGGTAGCCAGAGCCCTGGGGAGAGCAGGTCAGTGGTTTTCTGGGGTTCTTGGTGAGGGAAATAGGAGGTGGAGACCAGCTTGCTGCAATCCTGGTTCCTCCCAGGAGGGGACCATGTTTCCTACAGGGTGGCTTAATGCAGGGCTGCTAAGCAGGGAGTGGGTGTGACAGGTAAGTGGACCAACCTGTGCCTCATACCTGGGAGGGCCTCTGGGGGCTGTGGTTGCAGTATCTTTGTTCTACTTTCAAATTTGATGGACTCTATAATGCATATGCTGATGATAGTATCTTTTTTTTTTTTTTTTAGTTTACATCCCAGTTAATTAGCATCTAGTGCAATAATGATTTCAGGAGTAGAATCCCCTGATTCATCCCCTACATATAACAGCCAGTGCTCCTCCCAACAAGTGTCCTCCTTAATGACCCTCACCCATTTAGCCCATCCCGACCCACAACCCCTCCAGCAACCCTCAGTTTGCTCTCTATATTTAAGAGTCTCTTATGTTTTGTCCCCCTTCCTGTTGTTTCTATTATTTTTGCTTCCTTTCTCTTATGTTTATCTGTTTTGTATCTTAAAGTCCACATGAGTGGAGTCATGATATTTGTCTTTCTCCAATTTCGCTTAGCAAAACCCTCTGGTTCCATCTGCATTGTTCCATCTTGCAGATGGCAACATTTCATTCTTTTTGATTGCCGGGTAATATTCCATTGTATATAATGCCACATCTTTTTTTTTTAATGCTTTTTTTTAATTTTTGAGAGTCAGAGAGAGACAGCGTGAGCAGGGGAGGGTCAGAGAGAGAGAGAGATACAGAATCCAAAGACAGGCTCCAGGCTCTGAGCTAGCTGTCAGCACAGAGCCTGAGGTGGGGCTTGAACCCACGAATCGTGAGTTCATGACCTGAGCTGAAGTCGGACACTTAACCAACTGAGCCACCCAGGTGCCCCTCACATCTTCTTATCCATTCATTTGTTGATAGGCATTTGGGCTCTTTCCATACTTTGGCTATTGTCGATAGCACTGCTATAAACATTGGGGTGCGTGTGTCCCTTCGAAACAGTACACCTGTATCCCTTGGATAAATACCAGGTAGTGCAATTGCTGGGTCGTAGGGTGCTTCTATTATTTTTAGTTTTCTGAGAAACCTCCATACTGTTTTCCAGAGTGGCTGCAATCTGCAGTTTGCATTCCCACCAGCAGTGCAAAAGGGTTCCCCTTCCTCTGCATCCTTGCCAACACCTGTTGTTGCCTGAGTTGTTAATTTTAGCCATTCCAACTGGTACGAGGTGATACCTCACTGTAGTTTTGATGTTTATTTCCCTGATGATGAGCATAATATTTTTTGAACATAAAACTTTCCCTTTTACAAAGCGCAAAGGGAACATATGTAACTCGGAGGACAAATCCAGGATCAAAGGATTTTAGGACTGGAAAGTGCTAGCCCTCTCATTTCAGATGAAGAAACTCTAGTTCTCATTGCTTGTGGGAGTTGCACATAGTGCTGAAATCAGGCTTGGTTATCCTGGTCCCGGCTTTTCACACACCGGTCCCTACTTGGAAGGGGTTTGGGATATTACAGACTTATTCTGTACCAGAGCTTTTCAGTTCTGTTTTCAGGGAAAATTCCAGGCGTACTTTGGGACAATTACTTTTTACATATATCTATACATATACCACTGTCCAGATCAATTAGAGAACATTTCTAGTACACCAGAAATGTTCCTCATATGCCCTGTTAGTCAGTCCTACCACAGATCACCGCTGTTTTGACTTTTTTCACCATCCATAGTTTTGCCTGTTCTTGAACCCAACACAACAGGATCACACAGTGTGTTTGTTTTTGTTGAAGTTTTCAGATGCTTTATTTTTAGTGCTTTTCCCCTTTGGTGCACGGAGGTGCCAAGAGTCATTTTATAGGACCTCACGGCAGTAAACAAAAATCTTAAATGAGAATTACAAAAATGGTGCATGCTCATTAAAACTGCAAACAGTACAGAAGTTAGGAAGTAAATTTGTTTTATGGAAATATAATTGACATACAGCATTTTATTAGTTTCAGGTGTACAATAGCATGATTTGTTATTTGTACATATTGAGAAACAGTCACCACAATAAGTCTGGTTAACATCTGTCACCGTATATAGTTACAAATTTTTTTCTTGTGATGAGAACTTATAAGATGTACTATCTTAGCAACTTTTAAATGTGCAGTAGAGTATTAACAGCTATAGTCATCACGCCTGTACATTACATCCCCATGATGTCTTTATTTTATAACTGGAAGTTTGTACCTTTTGACCTCTTTCACCCATTTTGCCCACTCCCACCCCCGCCTCTGGTAGCCACCAGTCTGTTCTCTGTGGGAAATACATACTAAAACATCCCGTATGTACACGTTGTTGCTTTATGGTGTTCTTAGATCCAAAAAAAAAGTATGAGCCCTTGGAACATTTTAGGTTCTTGGTAGTTAAGCCTGTTGACACTCCTTAAACGCCTTGTCCGGACTCACCATATAGAACTGGTATTTTCATAGCAGTTTGTTCACTTGACTCCTGTTCACTTGGTTTCCAGAGTTCTTTATCTCTTCACCTAAGATCTACTCACCCTGCACTGCCTCTTATGGGCCTGTCCACAGAGATGGGACCATCCCCCACAGAACACCATCAACGTCTGCCTAACAGATGGGTGTCTGTTGGCCTTACGCTCATGGCAGAAACTGGTTCTGATCATCTAGGCTCAGGCCTGAGTACAGTTGATGAAGTCAGGCATCAAGGGCTAAAAATGTTGAAGAATTACAACAGCTCCATTATCTCCCCTTCCCACGTCTCCCCTTTTGGTATGTCTTTAAACAGTGATGAGCATGGAGAGGAGGAATTATTCCCAACGAAAGAACTCATCTCACGTTTCCGGGCCAATATTATTACCAATGGAACAAGGGCTTTTGAAGAAGAGACGTGGGATGAGATTTCAATCGGTTCCTTGCGTTTCCAGGTGAGTCGGGGAGTTCAGTTATCCTCCCTCAAGGGTTGTCGATGGAGCCTGACCTCCGTCTGTGGCCAGGATGGTGGCAGCTGGGAGTCCCCTTTCTGTCTTTGACTCTGACCCGCAAAGCCTCGGCCAGAGGGCTGTGACATCTGCATTCTGGGACTCCCCTTGCAAGGATCCATCTCTTATTCCCCATGAGGGTGGCAGCTGTCAGCTGCCCACGGGGCAGAAAGTGCTCATACAGGTGATCAGGGCTCAGTGCTGCCTCCACCTCATCATTATGTTTAGGCTTGAACTCTGTTTTCTTAGAATACTTGTGTCCATGGGAATGTTCTCCTCCCGAAGCCTCTTGGACTTCCCTGCTGTCTAGTGCTGGTGGAGGAGAACCCAGATGTCTCGTGGTCCCTCAGTGTCTGTGGCCACCACTCCACCTTCTTCCCACGCTCTGGCTTCCTGCCCTGCTGGCCATGGTGGAGGAGCTTACAGTCAGAGTGGCAAAGCCACCCCCTGCCCTCTCTCCCCAGGCTCTGGGCCCCCCAAACAGTGCTGTGGGCCTGAAAAATGTGAGAAAGCCTTGGGCTAAAACCTACATTCTTCCTTGGACACAATAGGGCCCCTGAGACCTGATCCCCCGACCTCTCCAGCTGATCTGAGCTCACTAGCCCTCCCCTGCCTGCCACACCACCCTTCTCTCCATTTCCTCAACATCCCAAGCTTCCTGCCTCAGCCTGTCCCTTCCGCCTGGTGTGTTCTTCCTGCAGCCACTTCAGGGTCTACACTCAGATGGCACCTCCTTGGGAAGGTCACACTCTGCATAGCACCTGCTTATTCCCTCAGAGCACGCGAGGGTGGGGACTAGTATGTTTGTTCCTGCTGTACCTCTAGGGCCCAGAACTGTCCTGGCCCAGAGTCAGTGCTCAATAACCATCCAGAGAATTAATAGACAGGAAAGATCAGAATAGCTCAGGACAGAAGGATGGGTCATCTGCACAGAATGTCCTGGGTACTTTAGTGGGGGGAGGAAATGATTTTCATAGTAGTGGTATTAATCTTGGTATACACGGTCTACAATGGGGCTATCTTGTGTCCTGGCTCTGTACTTGGAAGGAACACCACTGTGGTATCCAGAAAGGCAGCAAGCAATCATTTAAATCTTTCTGGAAGAATGGTGGAGGTCTGGGGTTGTGGAGGGCAGTTAAATTACATGACATAAGAAGTCCTAAAGAATTTTTTTTATCCACTGAAGTCTCCAAACCTCCTCTTATCCTGGCAGATTTCCCCCCTTGAAAAAACAATCTCTCCTCTCCCGGACATTGACTCCCACAGGTCTCTCTCTGGAGCCAACCATCCTGCTGTCCCCCCTCACCCCTGCATCCTGACTTACTCTTCTCTTCCTTATTTCCTGTTGCTCTGTCCCTGCCGTGTCTTTAAAACACTTGCTCTTGGGGCGCCTGGGTGGCTTAGTCGGTTAAGCATCCGACTTTCGCTTAGGTCATGATCTCGCGGTTCGTGGGTTCGAGCCCCGTGTCGGGCTCTGTGCTGACGGCCAGCTCAGAGCCTGGAGCCTGTTTCAGTCTGTGACTCCCTCTCTCTCTGACCCTCCCCTGCTCACGCTGTCTCTCTCTCTCTCCTAGAAATAAATTAAAAAAACATTAAAAAAATAAATAAAACACTTGCTCTTATGTATCCTGCCTGATACAGAGTAGGTACTAATACATGCTGTTTGATAAATGGAGAGAAGGAGGAAGAAGAAAAGGAAGAAAAGAAGGAAGAGGAAAGAGAAAGAACTAGAATTAGCTTATTGTCACTGTCAGAAACTCACCTGGCAACACAGCACGTGCAGCTTGTCAGGTACCTGGGCCATAAATAGAAGTAAGATTCTTTACAAATGCTTTGCTCTCCTTTTTTTTAATTAAAAAATTTTAAAATATTTACTTAATTTTGAGAGAGAGACAGAGCCTGAGTGAGGGAGGGGCAGAGAGAGGGAGACACAGAATCCAAAGCAGGCTCCAGGCTCTGAGCTGTCAGCACAGAGCCCAACATGGGGCTGGAACTCATGAACTGTGAGGTCATGACCTGAGCTGGAGTCGAACGCTTAACTAACTGAGCCACCCAGGTGCCCTGATCTTTTGCTTTCTTTAGGTCAGTGTTCTTAATAAACATTTATTAATAAAAGTTAAAATATAACTGCACTTTGGCCTCATAATCTCAGTTGTAGAAACCTATTCCATAAATACACACATACAAGTATGCGGAGCTGTATCAGAAGTTTATTTATTGTAATGCTTTTAGAAAGAGGAAAAATTGGAGGCCATCATAAATATCCATAAAAGGGAGATTGTTTAAAATAAATTATGCTGGATTCATACAATATAGTCCTGTGCAACACTAAAAAGTGTAAACTATAGTTAGTACTGTGCTTGCAAAAACTAAACACTGAAAAGATGTTTGCTGATGATAATACTCAGGCTGAGGCTGTTGCAATGCCAGAAGACTGAGCACATCTCTTTTGGAAAGTCATTTTTCACTGGGTATCATCAAGTCATAAAAACTTTTATAATCTCATTTATAATCTCATTTAGAGAGATAACCCCCCCCCCCAAGTTTTAAACAGCAGATAGGGTTATGTGGATTAAGAACTTCATTGCAAAATTATTGATAACAGCACAGAATTAGAAACTGGCTAATAGAACTTGGCTTCAGAGAACAACGAAGAACATCACGCCACAGGAATGCAAGGCCATGGTGAAAATCGCAAGCCCGAGGATGAGGCAGTCTCTGTATAGACACGGAGGTGCCCAGTGTGTATTGTGGAGTAATGAAGTCAGGGAAGACGCCCCGCGGCCTCTCAGAGCTCCGGGAGTGTGTTGCACACGTGCATGTGTGGTTGTGTCCAACTATGAGCTGCAGTCTGAAGAGATCTGGAGCCACATCAGCAGCACTTGCCTCTGAAGACAGTGAGGGGGGCCACTGCTCAGTGTTATCCTTTTTAAACGTTTTTTTTTTAAGTGTTTATTTATTTTTGAGAGAGAGAGACAGAGTGCAAGTGGGGGAGGGGCAGAGAGAAGGAGATACAGAACCTGAATCAGGCTCCAGGCTCTGGGCTGTCAGCCCAGAGTCCAATGCGGGGCTTAAACTCACGAACCTTGAGATCGTGACCTGACCTGAGGTCAGATGCTTAACTGACCTGAGCCACCCAGGTGCCCTGAATGCTTTCTATTTTAATTCTTAAATCTTCTCTGTATAGTTTGAGTTATTTTTCAAAGAACAAGTACACTAGTCAACAATTTTTTTTTAATGCCAGTGGATAAGAGTGCTAGAATAAACGCTTAAAAAAGCGAAAATTTTTTAAGAAAATTGATTTCTTTGCCTCAGTGTTTGAAAAAAGTTCTGGAAAATATTTTTCCTTCTGCCAGTTTGAAAAGCTGTTTTATGAGTCTTTTTGCCAAAGCGACAGGAGTTTTACATGAAGTGCTGTCTGTTGGGTGGCGGCAGGGGCCCGGGCCCAGGGCTGGTGGGACATCCCTTCTGTGGGACATGTCTCCTTGCTCTGCAAGGTCAGAGGGAGCCTGGCCTGGGAATCATAGCATTCTAGGCAGAGAAGGTAGCATGTTCTGTGCTTGGTCCTGGAGGGCTTAGTGCTCTGATCTTGTGGAAGTCCTGTTCCGTCTCGGGCATTCTCCTGTACAAGAATCCTGGGTGCGGCATCCTAGAAGTAGTGTCTGGAATCCTCACCACATCAAGCGAAGGGGCTGGATGAGATGAGGCCTGAGGAGGTCATAGGTCTGCCCAGTGTCAAGGCAAGTGCTGGGCAGAGCCCTGTGCGGCACACCGCAGCTGCCTATGGAGGCCCAGGAGCCTTGACTTTGGTACTACAGTGAGGTTCTATTTCCCCAGGTCTAGTGCCCAGTAGGCAGCAAGCGAGGGCCAGGCACGAGCCAAGACTCATCCAGATTTCGTTTCTAGTTTCAGTGCATACTTGGTGTTTGCCCATAAGTGAGCAGAGGAGCAAATGTGCAAATGCTTTGCCCTTTGCCCTTTTAATATGTGCAACAGAAGAAGTGTCCTGTCACTGCTGAGCTACATACTTTCTTTTTTTGTGTTAACATTTAGGGGAGATTTTTCTCACTTTAAAGAAACTCATGGGCATGGCAGGCCAACCTGATAATCCCTGTTAAGAAGCTGTGTGTGTGTGTGTGTGTGTGTGTGTGTCTATGAATACACATATAATTTTCTTTCCTCCTTATTTCACTTATAAAAATAAACATTTCCCATTTTATTTAAAACCCTTTATAGATTAATTTTAATGCCTGCATGATATATTCATAGACCTGTAGTATAGCCATTGTTCTCTACTAGTTGATGTTTAAGATACTCTCAGATTTCCCCAGTTAACAAATAATGTGAGAAAGATTGTACATGAACCTGTGTTTGTGGTTCTTTTCTTAGGGGAAATTCCTAGTAGTGAAATTTCTGTCTGTCAAAGGACAAGGACACAGTAAGGTTCTTTCTGATGACTCAGTGCTGGGCTCTGGGGTGTTTGTCTTCTCCTAGCTTACCCTCCAGTCAGTTAGTTCTTTTCTTCCTGGGCGGATCTCCAAGATTCTCTGATAACCATCCGAGATTCATAACTCTTTTGTTTCTCCACGAAGCCCGGAAGCAGCAGCCTTTCAGCTGATGAACAAACACGGAAGATTCCTTAGGACCCATGTGAGGAGGTGCCAGTGTCTGGCTCCTTACGGTTAGCAGAGCACTGGGCATTTCTGTGTGGGTGGGGCCAAAGACCCCCTCTTACAGCCAGTCCTCCTGGACCCAGATGCCTCCCGGCCCTAGCAGGAGCGTCCGGTCACTTTCATGGCAACACTGTCTTTTCCCTTCTTACCTCCTCCTAGGTGGTAGCTCCTTGTCACAGATGCCAGATGATTTGCATCAACCAGCAAACTGGGCAGCGAAACCAAAATGTTTTCCAAAAGCTTTCCGAGAGTCGCGCGAGAAAAGTAAGCATGGTTGCAAACTGTGACACCTGTTTTGAGATCCTGTTTTTTTTTTTTTAAGTTTATTTATTTATTTTTTGGGGGGAGGGGCAGAGAGAGAGAGAGAGAGAGAGACAGGGAGAGTGAGAGAGAGAGAATCCCAAGCAGAGCCTTTGATGGGGCTCAAACTTATGAAACTGTGAGATCATGACTTGAGCTGAAACCAAGTTAGACGCTTAACTGACTGAGTCACCCAGGTGCCCCTAAGGTCCTATTTTAAGATCCTGGCTTGTTATCTGCACCAGAACTGTAGTTCTGAGTATTAATACTGAATACTTTTTTTTTTTTACTTTGCCATTTCTTTTTTTTTTTTTTTTTTACAAATAGTTTATTGTCAAATTAGTTTCCACATAATACTGAATACTTTTTAAAAGTGTGAAGACATTCGAAAGCGGATCGTATACCATTAAGGTTCTGACCTCATCCGTGGTACCATCTTATTTTTCCTTTTCATCTATTTTCTTACTTTTTGATATCTTACTTATGTGTACTTTTGATGCTCTCAAATTTTGTCAAAGAGATACAGGGTTTAAATAAGAAATAAGTAAATAAGCAAAATGATTTTTATTATCTTGATCATTATTTTCTTCACTACAGGTGTCTTATGAGAGTAAAATGCCCTGTGGTGAATAGAGTAGCTGCATAGAGAGATTCAGTAAATTTCACTTTAAGAAGGCTGTAAGTCATCTGGTTGAAGGTTAGAATGACTGGATGTTGGTTTTGTGGATTCCAGATTATAGAAACTGAATTTCTAATAGATTGATTCTTTAGGAAGATTTATGTCCCGACTAGTGCTTTCTGGTTTTGTTTGCAAAGAATTCTAGGAAGCCAGGTAGGCAGTCAAGGTTGCATGGAACATTTCTTGAAAATTAACTGAATTAACACGTCTGTCTGCTTGGCTGAGGCAGGCCGTGTCACCTGAGGGTGTGAGGACCTTGCAGGTTGCCAGAGGACAGGGGATGGGTGTGCACAAATACTATGGTGCATGGAAGGAAATCACTGTACATCTTAGAATCACTGTAATTCTCATATGCACACAACTTTTATTTTTTTATTATTTTATTTTTAAGATAATTTTTGGGATAATTGTAGATTTACAGATAAATTGCAAAGAGAATACAGAAAGTTCCTGTGAACCCTTCTCCCACACGTGCACAAATCATAAGGAATTAATTTGGCTTCTGCCCCTAGCCTGGGTCCTGGAAGATGGGACGTCCAGCTGATGTCATCACAGGAATGAACAGATCTGGGAGTGCATCACAGGCTCCAAAGAGTTCTTATTGGCTCACTTGCATTGATGACAAACCTTGAATAGACTCACACTGTTTTTTTTTTTTTTTTTTTTTTTTTTTTCACAGCTCTTTACTTTAGACCTTCTATTTTTCTTCTAGAGAGTTTGGAGAACTTAACCTACATCACCTCAAAAAAAAAATCACATTAAGGAAAATGCAAAATTTTGCTATTCTTTTCACAAAATAGTTTTTACATCAGGCAACAGAGCAGAAATTGGCCTGGCAGTGATCAGAAGCACAGAGCAGGATGCCAGCCCTCCTCCCAGACGTTCAGGGTATATAGGAAAGAGAAAAACAGATGTGCGGGGACTGTCAAGAAAGAACATTTTACATGAGAATCTTTGTCTGAAATTGGGATTCTTGGTTCCCCCTACATACAAGTACCTGTCTTTAACAATCTGACTTGATTTTAGTTGAACATTATTATTTGCAAAATTATCTCAACTGCTAAAATAATCTGACTTGTTGTTGCTGCTGTCTTGTTCACAGGTGAACTTTGGAGTGTACCTGATGCATACGTCTTTGGATTTTTCTTCCCCATCTTTCCTGTCTGTAGGATCTCAGGTGCTCCCTGTGTTGAAAGAAAACACAGAACGCCAGGATCTACTGGCTTCCGAGAAACATCAGGATGTTATCTCCTAAAAATCATTTTCAGTGTAAATTAAAATTTCTCTTTTACAACTATGTCTGCTCTAATTCAGGCTGGCACATGGCTCAGTGCAACAGGGAGAGTTCTCTCTGGGGTAGAGGGAAGCCTCGTTGGCCCCTGCTGACTGCCACTCTCCACGTGTGCACTGGTCAAGCTCACAAGGGCAGTTCTGGGGCTTCTGTGGTTTCCACAGCTGTGCTGCACCCAGCAAGGTTCCCATATGCATTTGAAGTATGATAATTTTAATTAGGTGAGGGTTTTTTCCTGTTATAATTCTCTTTCTCCTTTTTTCTATCACTATTTTTAAAAACGTAAGTGTAGTTGACACACAATGTCAGTTTTGGGTGTATAGCATAGGGATTCACAGTGTCTATATGTTACACTATGCTCATGACAAGTGTTAACTACCATCTGTCCATGTAAAGCACTATCACAGTACCACTGACTGTATTCCCTATGCTGTACCTTTTATCCTGGTGACTTTTTTTAAAAAAATTTTAAAAAAATGTTTTATTTATTTCTGAGAGAGAGAGACAGCGTGAGCAGAGGAGGGTCAGAGAGAGAGGGAGATACAGAATCTGAAGCAGGCGCCAGGCTCTGAGCTAGCTGTCAGAGCCCAACGCGGGACCTGAACCCACGAACCGTGAGATCATGACCTGAGCTAAAGTCGGACGCTTAACCGACGGAGCCACCCAGGTGCCCCGCCAGTGACTTATTTCTTTCCATAAATGGAAGTAATTGGGTGAGATCTTTAATGAAGCTCCCTGGGAATGCTGAACCTCCATTTTGCCATTTCCCTACACAGTTGCTTTGTCTTCAGAAAGCCTCTCTAGGGCTCCTCCACCCCTCTGTAATGAGGGTGGGAGCCTGTGTCCAGTGATCTTGAGAGAATGAGAATGTGCCCCTTTCCTCTCGTGGACATAGAGGAGGTGGGCTTCTGAGTTGTGGCCACATTCCTTCGGGGAGATTTGAGCAGCGTATTTTTGTGTTGAGCGAAGTCACAGGCTGGCAACCTCCCCCCTCTTCCTTCCTGTCTCGCTCACTCCTCCTCTCCTGCATCGGGTTGATGCTCTGGGGGCTGCTCATGAGCCTGACGTCACACTCAGTGATGGCGGTGCTCTGTGAGCAGTCGTGCTCCCTCGACAAGCTCGCGGGGCCGTGCCAGCCCACCCACTGACTGAGCCACCCAGCCTCCAACTCCCAGTTCAGAGAGGAACTCCGGGGGTTCAGGGTCCTTTCCATATCACCTCAGACCTCTGCTCCTGCAGCCTCCAGTTGGAGACATCCAGTGACAGCAAGCTCACCCTCTAATGAAGTTACTTATCCCACTGAGTTGCTGAAAGGTTCCTCCCTATATTGAACTTGTCTCTGCCACCTCATGACGCCCAGCCATGGGTCTTGCCCTGTCGTACAGAGCCGTGTAGAGTGAGCACGTACACTCCTACGTCCACTCTGCTCAAGTCCTCTGAAGCATGGTGTCCACATATGAACCCCAGGTCCTTCCTAAGGCCCCCAGCACCTCCCGCCTGGATTGTTCATGAGTCCAATCACCTCATCCCCAACCCCCTGCCCACCACCGCCCACAGTGCCTTCCTGAAGCCAGTGTCCTGCTTCTCTCTCCTGTGCTGTGTTTGCATATCAGGCTCAGGCTTCCCTGCCTCACATACTCAGACCCCTTGGGTTAGGAGTCAGTTTGTTCCATTATATCATTTGCAGAACTTCGTGATGCTTTCACCACTATGTGGGGTTTGAAAGATGACACTTGCCTCTGTTCTTGAGGGTTTGCTGAGATGGGGCCATGCCCTTGCACTTTCATTTTGTATGTGGAGTTAAGTGTCAAAACTGACTTTCTGGGTGTCGCCTTCGTGGTTCTTGTAGCTGGGGGAGAGATTCTCTTCTGCATGTGTTGGGGTGAGTGCCAAGACTCCTTTGAGGAAGGTGGTGGTGCTGACCTCCTCCCACTGAGACTTAGCTTTGTGAGGACAGAGAGGGGCAGGTGGTGATTTCTTCCTCCTCTTGAAAGATGTCCATCCATTTACTTTTTATTCAATATGTGCCATTCAGCTTCTAGGTAGGCCTATAGAAAGGCAAGAAACAGAACATGCATTCAAAGATCTCACCACAGAGGTAATAGCAAGAGGAAAAAGACAGACCAGTACGTAGTCAGGCATGATATGGAGTGTTTGAAAACCGTGCTACGTTCTAATGCATGCACCTGTTGTTTGGGCTTTTCTTAAAGTATTTAGGACATGTCCTTTGGAGAGAAGATTCTAGAAAGGTCACAAGTACACACAGATATTCCTGGGTATTTGTGCCCCCTGTTACAGTTTGACTTCTAGGCTGAGATAGATGGCCTGCACTCCAGGTCATGCAGGCTTACACCCATTTAGAATTTGACCCTCTACACATTCCGTATTTGGTTTTATCTAGGTGAAAGCAGAAGAGCATATTTTTAACAGTATTGTGACTCCCCCAGGCTGGAAAGGGACTAAATGTCCACTAACAGGAGAATGGATATAAGGTGGTAGTGGGAGATGAAGGGATTAGAACTGCGTGGGCCGGCATGGGTGACCACGGTGGTGAGAGAAAGAAGCAAGTTGCAGAACACATGTGGTGAGATTGAAGGTCAAAGACGAAAAAAAAAAAACCCCACAAGCAGAAGACTCCTATACATTGCTTTAGGAGTACATGCATATGCAGTAAACGTATAAAGAAATAGAATGATAAATTATGCATTTTGAGGGTGAGGAATTAGAAGTAGGGAGGGTGTATAGGGGCTTTGGCTCTACTGGGAACGCCTTGCTTCTTAAGCTCTAGGATAATAAATGCATAAGTATTAGTTGTAGTATTCTTTATATCTTTTCAAATGACTTAAATGTTTAATAATAATTAAAGTAAGGTTTTCAGGAAAATTTGCCTTTAGTTCTCTTTCCATTGCTTAAGAGCAAAACATTGAGCAAGAGAGGGTCCCAGCCTGCTGTCTGACTTATGAGAGCTTGCCCTGCACGAGGCTAATAGATTTGCTATGTAGGTAGCAGACAGTGTTGTCTGAAACTTATGAATTGCATTGTATTTTTTAAATGTTATTTTATGGCAGTAAGAACACTTAACAGAGATATAATTTCTTTTTTTAATGTCTTTTTTTGAGAGAGAGAGAGAGAGAGAATGAGCAGGGGAAGGGCAGAGAGAGACACACAGAATCTGAAGTAGCCTCCAGGTTCCGAGCTGTTAGCACAGAGCCCAACGTGGGGCTCGAACTCATGAATCACGAGATCATGACCTGAGCTGAAGTTGGATGCTTAACTGACTGAGCCACTCATGTGCCCCATGCAATCTAATCTCCTAACAAATATTACATGTACAGTAATTACTGTTGACTGTCGGTACAGTGTTGCATAGCAGATGTCTGAGAGCATACTCATGTTGCTTAACTGAAACTTTATGCCTGTTGATTAGTAACTCCCAATTTCCGCTCTCCTCAGCTCCCAGCAACCAGCATCACTTTTTTGATTCTGTGAATTGACTATTTTAGATACGTCATATAAGTAGAATTATACAGTACACATCTTTCTGTGACTGGCTGATTTCACTTATCATAATGCCCTCAAATTTCATCCATGTTGTTGCATGTTGCAGACTTTCTCACTTTATTTGGAAGGCTGAATCGTATTCCATTGTATGTATTTGCCACATTTTCTTTGTTCATTCATCTGTCAGTGATCACCTAGCTTGTTTCTACATTTTGGCTATGTTACATAGTGCTGCAATGAACATGGGAATTCGAATGTCTTTTCAAGATCCTGATTTCAATTCTTTTGGATAAATACCCAGAAGTAGGATTGCTGGGTTACTTGTAGTTGTACTTTAATGTGTTGAGGAGCCTCATATTGTTTCTCAGAGCAGCTGCACCAGCTCGCGTTCCTACTAGCAATGGGCATGGGCTTTAATTGTTCCACATCCTTGCCAGTGCTTGCTGTCTTTTGTTTTGCTTTTATTTTTGTTTTGTTTTGGTAATAGCCATCTTGAGAGGTGTGAGGTGATATCTTATTGCGGTTTTGATTTGCCTTTCCTTGATGATTAGTAACATTGAGCATTTTTAAAAATATATCTGGTGGCCATTTGTATGTCTTAGTTGGGGAAATGTCTATTCAAATATTCACAAGTCAATCAATGTGATACATCACATCAATAAGAAAAAGTAGAAAAACCATATGATCCTTTCAATAGATGCTGAAAAAGCATTTGACAAACTACAACATCCTTTCATGATAAAAACCCTTAACAAAGTAGGTTTAGAGGAAACATACTTCACCATTATAAAGGTCAAATATGAAACACCTAGAGCTGACATCATACTTGATGGTGAATACTGGAAAATTTCCCCTGAGATCAGGAAAAAGACAAGAATGTCTACTATCACCGCTTGTATTCACCATAGTTTGGAAAAGTCCTACCCACAGCAACTGGACAAGAAAAAGAAATAAAAGGTGTCTAAGATGGTAAGGAGTAGGTATAACTTTCATAATTTGTAGACGATATGATACTGTATGTAAAACACCCTGAAGACTCCACCAAAAATCTACTAGATCCAGTATATGAATTCAGTAAAGTCACAGGATACAAAATTAATGAACAGAAATTTGTTGCATTTTTATTAAGAATTAAGAAATAACCCCATGTACTATGGTATCAAAAAAGAATAAAATACCTAGGAATAAACATAACGAGGTGAAAGGCCTGTATTCTGAAAACTATAAAATAACCTTGATGAAAGAAATTGTAGATGATACAAACAAATGGGAAGATATTCCATGTTCATGGATCAGGAGAATAAATATTGTTAAAATGCCCATACTACTCAAAGCAATCTACAGATTTAATGTAATCTTTAATAAAATACCAACAGTATTTTTCACAGAACTAGAAAAAATAATCCTAAAATTTGTATGGACCCACAAAAGACCCCCAACAGCCAAAGCAATCTTGAGAAAGAACAAAACTAGAGGTGATTTCAAGGCACGCTGCGTAGCTGTAG